AAACGCAAACATGTACTTTCACTGAATAAACATCACTTTTTTTGACGGATTCGGAATTCTGATCCCCAGAATATAGGAGGATATCCGCAATCTATAAAATATGGTCCGAATAGTTTGGTCAGGAAAACTCTCCAAAGTTTGGATCCATTAATGTTAATTTTACTTTTTGCGTGCTTTGCTATATCTCGAGAGCTTTTTAAGAGAACTAAAAAAATTTTAGACACAAATATTAAATTTGTTTATCCAAAGATAATTCCATCCAAAAATTTATTTTAGTTAATATTTATTATTATTTTATTTAAGAATGGTCGTAAAAATTTTGAATTGTAAGGTATAAAATTTTTTGCATTATTTTAAAGAATGTAATATTATATGGCAAAATACAAAATTTGAGTAATAATCGGGCGAATAGTTCCTGAGAAATATAATTTCAAGTGTCTGACTTTTTTGAAATTCAATTTGGAGCTTATATGCCTAATTAGTAAAAAAAATAAGCAAAAACAATCGACTCAAAAGACTAAGTACACTAATAAATAGGAGTGCAATTAATCTGAGAAAAAAAAAACTTTTTTTCAATTAGCAATTTAATGCATCTAGTGCTTAGTAATTTGTTCTCCAGAGAAATCCAAAATTGTTCAAACAAATGAAGTAGCAAAAACTCTATTTATTTCGAATATAGTAAATTAATCAAAACACAAAAACTGAGAAACAAAGTATCAAAATGAGCTAATTAGAAAAATGATTAATCGATTATGACTTTTTAATTAGTTATCATTACATATGATTATTTCACCATAGTTTAATCTGTGGCAATTTGCCTCGTAAATAATAAGTATAAAGTTTTCTGGTTAAGAAAAACTTATTAATATGTAAGAATAATTTCTGACAGCACAAGAAACCATAACATATTTTGTAGCAACACTACCAACGAAAACACTGCTCTCATAAATAAGTAAGGCATCTTATTTTTTTATCTCCGAAATATCAAGTGAAACTCACGTAGATACTAATAACTGCTTGATTCACTTGTGACTTAAAACTTCTAGTTTAAAACCAAGTACCAAGTTAAATTTGAAGTTAGTTCAAAGTGAAGCTGACTGCCTGCTTTAATCAAAAGTGCCTCAGAGATTCAAGTTTGAAGCTGATACTTAGTAAAATTTTCTAGAAAACTGATAATTGTTTGTTCCAAATGTTAAAGCTAGAAACCAAAATGCTAATGACTGAAATTTGATTACTTGTTTCAGTTGGATCACAAAAATTTATGCAAGTTTAAAGCTAATAACTAAGCTAATACAAAGAGGACGTTTATGTTGACTTTCTTGATCGGTTGTGCTAGAGGGATTAAACTGAAACTTAGAATCACACATTAAAAAAATTATACATTTCAAAAGATCGAGCTGATAATATTTTAGTTCCGTTATAGACAAATCGCAAATAATAATATTTTCTTTGTCATTATTTCAAATGTAACACAACTTCTCGTTTAACTACTTTATGGTCTATTTTGAATCTCCTACCAACAATGTTTTACAATTGCTACTTTTTCTTAAGAAAAAGAAAGTGTATCGCAAAACGAAATTTCCTAATCAATTTGCTTCCTTTCTCTTTCGTGTATGCTTGATTGTCCCTCTATCTGCCACCTCTAAAAGAAAGATATATCACTTCTATTTGCATTAACTATAATATCGCCATTAATTAAAATGGCTGCTTCATCTTTGGCTGGTGAGATTACATCCGTCGTAATTGTGTTAGTTGTATTCCGTAGCGTATTGTTCAAAAAACTTCACAGACTACAAGAGATATCGCAGAGTTTAACCAAGGTAAATACAACAATCCATAAATATATAATTTATGTGGAGTCCTTTCTCAGCTTTTTGATCAACGTTGTCAGCTGTTTCTTCAGCTCATATGTAATGTCCAATAGCTATTTTAAGCGCAGCTTCTTCTTTGGAAGCACATTCCAAAATGAAATTATTATCAGATTAATTAGCACGCTATTTTCAATACGTTTAAGCAAATTTTTTGTGTTGCCACTCAATTTATTATGTTTTAATCTGCCAGCAAATAAACTTAATGTTTTAAAGATTCAAAAACATACTAGTAAATAATTCAAACTTAACTTTTATAAAGCCATAAAACAAATATTGAACGCTATTGATGACAAAATATCCTTTTTAGTATTTGTTGAAATAACTTAAGAAGAAGTACCATGGTTTCATCGATATCAGGTATATTCTATGCTTTAGAAAAGGATATAACATTTTATTTCAAATTCTTCAAGAGCTTTTATGTTTATGACCATTTCAGCAGTTTAATTTTGGAGGCAGCCATAGACTAAGCCGATTCTGCTAATGAGTGGTTTAAAAATAAAAATTCCTCTTCGTTAGAGAAGATATTATTCCTGTCTTGGGCACAATCAGAAATTAATTTAACTGTGTGAAGATTGTTCCAATTAAATGAGGTTTTATTTTAAGTACTCTGGAAACCATAAATACTTACGTGACATTGATATGCAGTATAAAATTTGAAGAGTAGAGCAATGTCGATAGCCCTCTAATAAAGAACCAAATATGCAATTCATGAATTTTTCGAAATGTCCAACAACTTCATTCTTCTCTGAATGGTAGCTGGTTTTAATTAAAAGAGATTGCATTATGGGTAAGCTGAAAAATATAATTGGCAAACTTTGATCTGTAGCACAAAATTTGAAAAGTAAGTCAATGTCGACAGCTCTCCAATAAAGAACTAATTATGCAATAATTCTTAGTGCAATAGTTATAATATGAATTTTTCGTAATGTACAAGCAATTTCATTTTTTTTTTTTTTTTTGTGAATGATAGCTGCATTTGATTAAAAGAGGTAAAATATTCTTTAAGTTGAAAAATAGAATAAATCACATTGACCCACATATTCTAATCAACAAATAAGTAGTTTAAAAATAGAGAAGATATTTAATTAGATTAAAATTCGAATAATCATAGAAATAGAAATTGAAGTAAGTTTCAGTGCTTAACTTATAATAACTGTAATCATTGACTTAAATTTACATCAAAAATGAAAAATGTAAATTCCGACACCAAGATAAAATAATTTCTAATTAATTATATTAGATTTATAAGAACTATGCATTGCATCTCAAATATTTTATTCAAACGTCAAGTTAAAAATATAATTTGATTTAAAATGAAATTATAAAATGTTTCACATAATTTAGAAGAAACTGAACAAAGTAGGTAATCATTTTTTAATTTTGTGTGAAATATGCTTGACACCAACTAATCCATTTAATTTGAACTTATCATTATTAGATATTATAAAATTAACTTTTTTATTAAATATTCTGTAGTAAGTAGTTTATTTACAAATTTAATTTGCAGTTTATAAAAGTAATTGCTCTAAGAAATAAGACGTAATAAACGTTTAAGACAATTTTTTATGTCAGACACCGTGGAATTATCCTATCTATATTATATACAGGTCAATTTATATTAAAGACAATATATTTTTATGGCTTTATTCATTAGCTAAATGTTTTTCATATTTTTGATTTAATTGCGTGTGTGATAAAGAAAATAATTTTGCAAAAATTGTTTGCTTTATTTATTGCATGGAAATTATGAAAAAAAAAAAATTTAATACATAGCTATGTTTTTCCTGACCATTTTTAAATGCTCTTAAAAGCTTATTCCCACATTTTCATAATCTTGGGATATTCAAATATTTTAAAACCTACTACCTACAGAAATAAAATACCGAACTGACAAAATATCAAGAAATCTCTTAGTGGAGTAAAATTTCACAATTAAATATGCCCGTGGTGATTAAATATGTGTCTGTTGAACCAGTTTTATATAGAACACAACATAAGCTTACACTTTACATGAAAGTCAAAGTAAACTGACTGAAGGGTCATAGCCAATCAATATTTATAATTGGGAGCAAATTTGTGAAAGAAATGAATCATTGAACTAAAACCTGCAAGGGATAAAATCTTAATTACAGTTCATCATATCAAAATAATAATAAAGTTTCGATCGATCATTAACAATTTGTCAAATAAGATCTTAAAAACTTTTTATTTAGAACGAAGAAAAAAATTCAAATACTCTGCTTTAACCTTGCATTCTCTAGAACTAAAACTAGTAGGCAAAAACATAATTATTGTTGTTATCTGTCAGTTTGACCGTAGCACACTCAGAGATAAAAATCAAAAATTATGAAATCCAGAAATGGTGTGAAACCGATCGCTGAAAAAAAATTCTTAGAAATGCCGGAATAAAAAATATTTAGTACTTTTTCAGCACTCAGAAGAAAATTTAGTACTTTCTTAGGACATTTTAGGACAGAACGAACCCTGGAATTAGAAGTAAGTTAAAGAATTCATCTGCAATTCATCACAGCTTTACATCTGTGTAGTTTGAAAGAGTAACAGGAAGTCAATTAACTCGGTCTAAGTCAAAGCAGCATGCATATTTTAATATAAAATTTTATGCTATTTCAACTAATTATTATAAAAATCTTTTAAGATAAAATATTGAACTTTATAAATGGATAAATATAAATAAGAACTAAGTGAAGAACAGTAATTTTATTCATTAGCCAATAATTTTTTTATTTTTTATCAACACATTAAATTAAGGACAAAAAAATAATAAAATGATAACACACGGTTTAGAGTAATAATACATTTTTCAGAAGAAATCTTTTATTGTTTCAAGATGACAATACAATATTAAACCACAGATTGCAACTTGAAAAGGTTAAAATGACTTATAATGATGATAAATAAAATAGCACAACACATATTACGTCTTCTAAACCAAATGATTTATTAAAACACTGGTTTCAATATGAGAGTATTTACATAATGCTTTATAAGATGATCAAGATGATTACTACTTGCACCAGCAATTAATCTGAAAATAATATCCACTACTTTAATATAAGTGAATCTAGTAACAAATACTGAAAAGCCATTTATAAAAAGAAAACGTTTTACCTTCTGCTTGTAGTACTTTAAATAAATTTTGTTTATCTTCGTTCCCTTGAATAAGATCGATCCCTCTTATCTCGCTGGTTGTAACGAGGGCTGCGGCTCCTACTACGACTTCTAGAATAATATCTGGGGCGACTAAAATAACATAAGTATAAGTTAATAGCAAAACTGTATACATATGAACTAAAACATAAAACAAAATTGGGCAAAGCCTTTATAAGTTTATATTAATGTTGCCAACATCCATAAACTACAGCTTTTATTTTTAAAATTAACCAAACCAATTTCAAGAATAAGAAATATCAATTGTCTTTTAGCAAACTAAATGGCAACTTTTAAAAACTTGATTATATGAGAATCCATATCAGCTTAATGCCACTGAGCACAAATTTTATTTGAATGCAAGCAAAGAAAAAGTAACCTGCACACTTATGTTACTAATGGCAAATTAAGTAAATAAAAGTAACCTTTGATGCTGCATTCTTACAATATTGCTGCACGTTGAATTGTGATGTTAATGAAGAATTGAGGGTGGTGGTGGGATGTGGTAGCAGATAAGGTGGTATGATGGCTGCTGATTGGGAGGAGGTGGGAGACGCGGTATTCCAGGTTTGTAGCTATTCGAGTATCAGATGTTAAAGCGTTGAGGAACTCTTGAGTGAGTTTGAAACTACTGCCAGCAAAGTGGGGGGAAATGGAGGCAATAGTAGAAACAGTAGCTCATGTTTCTGTCTTCAAAGAACAGAAGTAGCAGATCCTAAGTGGCACATAATTGAAAAAGCTGCACAGAAGTAAGTGGTACATTGAGTTTAAGGAGGCTTGCAGCGCCACACTGTAATTGATGGATAAGCCTGAAATTTTCACATTAAAGAAAATTAGCACAAAAGGATTTTGGCTATGCAGAAAAAATGTTCTATTTTATCGAAAACATGGTTTTCGTGCAATTTATATGAAAGGAGCAAACCTTTTAATTTATACAGTCTTAAATCAATTATAAATTATTAAATCACCTTAATAAATAGTTTTAAATATAAGTATCAGAAGTATTTAATGTTCTAATGAAAATTTCTGTTCCAAAAAATAATGCACATTTTGTATCACAAAATGAGATTAATGTTTTCTTCCACTTGAAAATTTTAGGCCATAATTTAAGTGGGACAACAAAAAACTAACAGAAAAAAAATATTTTCTATGAAATAACTTTTCTAAGCACGTCTTATAGAAAATCTAAAATTCTTTACTCATTAATTTGTAAGAAAAAAGAACACCTCTAAAAAACATTGAGGAAAAGTACTAAACATTTAGTCACAAAATCATAAGCCCATGGGATTTATATCATTTTAAAATTGGTTGGATAAATATAAAGATTTTCAGCAGAGCAAGATCTGATGTTAGATACACATAATTATACTGATTACAGCAATGGCAGTTGTGCAACCAAGTGAGTAAAACCTACTTTCGTTTTAATAATTTAACTAGAACACTTTACAACATATGCAATAAATTAGAACTGAAATGTGAACTAGCTTCATTTATTTATTTGCCAAACCATAGTAAATAATCAATCATATTAGGTTCAAAACAATTAAAGATATATAAAAAAAGGCAATTAGATAAGACTATAAATAAGGAACAAACTGAATAAAAAAGAATTGTTGATTTGACTATTAATAATTAAAAATGTTTAGATTAAACAAAAATAAATCAACAAAAATATTTTTATTAGATATAAATGACACAACAAGGTAAGTTTTGATATTTATAGATATTCAAAATAAAAATGGAAGCATTATGTTAAATATGACATTGAGATATAGATGGAAAATTTAACATCTTCATAATGTTAAGTTTCCTTTCACCACAAATATTTTTTTTTTTTTTGAATTATAGTATATATTTTAATTATTAAAAAATAAGTTTTTGTGCTTAAACAAAGCATTGTTAATTGAATATTCTATACAAATGAAATTTTATTTTTTAATAAAAAAATTAAAAAAATAAGCTGAAATTAACCTTACTAAAACATACAAAGCTATTAAAGAGATTATGGCCTGTCAGTTTCAAATTACTTGCCACATGCGATGTGATTTCAATTTTAATGTTTAGAAAGCTGATTCTGCTCTATACAAAATCAAATTAATATCAGCTAAGCTAATATTCAATTTTAAAATTTCAATCAGTAGCAGAATAGAAACTAAACTTGATCATCTATTTAATTTTTTCTCAATTTAAGAAAACTTTTCCCTGTCTTTTCCAGGCATGTCAGGTAAATTTTAATAAAAATCCATACCATATTTTATCTATACCATGTTATTTTTTGATCAGTAAACTTTGATTTTCTGATTTATAATATTAGATTTTGTGAGCAAAAACATGTAATAGAATGAGAATGGAAGCATAGAAAAGTTTCACTAAAAGGTGAAATTATTTAAATTAAATCTCAATAACTGATTACTGCTATTTTCAATTATAAGACTGGCTATTTTTCAGGTATGATATAGGAATTTTCCAGGTTCTTCGTAAAAATTTTTAACCTTCCCTTACTATTACTTGCTTTTCAGAGTTGAAATAAAATTCCTTGACAACTCCAGATTCTCCCTGTTCTCTCTGATGACCAGTGGGTGCCCTGTTAAATTCTTCTTATGTTTCACATTTAATTTAAAAATTATTAATATTAGAGTCATTAAATAAAACATTTGTAGTTCAAATATCAAAGGCAATATCAAAGACATTGAACAATTATGTACTGAATATGTTACAATTATGTACTGGATATGTTATGAAAATTACGGGGTGAGATTTCGCCCTCTATTTCTTGCTCCTGTGATATTCCTGGGCTGGAGTGTTCAGTAGTAATGCGCCAATAAAAATGAAACTAATTCATTTCCTTTGCCTGGAAAACTTTTTATTTCTCATTTTACACACCAGATGACAGTACCAGTATATATTTAAGGTCATTGTTGATAATTTTAAACTAGATATCAGCACTTATCAAATACATGTATAAAAAAAATAGGCACTTTTATGACCGTTTTCTTGAAAATTAGCCGATCATTAAGGGGTTAACCGAATTTTAGTTACATATAATTTTAAAAAAAAATATTTTATAAATAAGCAATTATATAACCAATGAGCACTAAAAATTCAGTAAGAATTCCAAACATGAATAAAAAGACATAACTATTTTATTATTAAAGAAAAAGAAACAAACCTCATGCACCTGTTTAAAGAGAAATAAAATAGGCTAGAAAAAAATACATTAAAAATTAAACTAAAATTTTTCTCTGTAAAAATGTATTATAACTTTAAGATAAAATAAAAATGCCTAATTTTGTTTAAATAATCAATGAAAATTATTTAGACAATGGTTCTTTAAATTGTTCTCTTTTCTCTTGTCTACTAACTCGTGTACTTGGTGTAATAGATATTGATTTTCTATCTAAAAATTATTGCTCTACATAATTTATGACATTGAAAATTGTCAATTGTAAGCCTAATACAAGCCCTTTTCGGATTTTCAATTTAATCATGTGCCTCGATATTCACAAGATCATAGTAGCCTATTAAAATATCAAACTAAAAACCATGCAGAAATTAGGAAAATAATTGCGAAAAAACCAGCAAAAGATCATGATGGTTTTTGGTGGGATCGTGAAATTTTTTTAAAAAAAATTTTAGTTTATAACTTCAGCTTTACTGTCAACTCAAGTAAAATATCTAAAATCTGGAATTGACTTTCCAAACTCTTGAGCAGGATCATACAGTACATCAAAGCATAAAATGTGGATTCATTACAATTATCAATAATTTTTTATCTTTGAAAAATAAATGATTTGATTCAGATTTGATAAAAAGATTAAATAAAACTCTAAAGACATAAATTGGATGGGGGGGAAATGACTATGATAAGCTATCAATTGAAGGAAAGGAAAAAAATATTAAGACACTTATTATTAATAAAATAATATAAATTTTAATTTATTCTTAACTTAACATGCAATTCTCAAAATACATAAAGATTATAAAAATGAAATCAAAATCCCTTACAAGAGCTTTAAAATCTAATAAAAAAAGAGAATAAATAAGTGAAAATAGTCTTTCATACAGAAAGATTACTAAGATTTGATTAAACTTTTTAATACGTGAAGTTTTAATAGTCTATACAACTCGTATTTGTTAAAATACACTCCAATATTAATTTATGCCCTTCAGCTTAGGAAAAAAAATGAATGTATTTCCAAGACTAAACTGGGCTTAAGACCATTTTCTTGCTAACAACAAAAAATTTCACCAATCACTAATACAATTATTCTATTTATTCAAAATCTAATGTAATATTAAGCAACAAACAACTTAATGAGTTAATAAGCCGCTCACTAATCTAATCACAACATTTTACTTTAAAGTTATGATGATTTTCTAAAAATACATGAATGTGTAAAACTACATGTAAGTTTGATACATGAATGTGAAACTACATAAGTAGGATTCACGCCAGTATAGTGATATGGGGGCAAACACCGTTAAATGTTCTAAAAATGACACTAAAAATCATACAAATAAACGACAAATTAGTCATTTTGAAATATGTTTTTCAAAATAAAGAAAAAGTTTTTTCACATCGATTTTCGCGCATTGAAAATGTTTTTTTTTTTATTTAATTGTTCTATTCATGATATGGTATGTGTTGCAAATATTTAAATTCAAATCCTAAAATTCCAAATTTACATGAGGCGCTCTGCTTTGCATTCATGCACTGACAATAGAATTGTACATCAATAAAACAATATTTTCTGCACTTTTAGAATTGAGTTTACTTAAAATTTCATAATTTTTAGATAATTAATTACTAATTTAATATTTTGCTTTACCTCTTACTTTCTGTTTTCTTTATTTGGTCTCTGCAGTTTCATCTCTACTTTGAATCTATTTAATAACATAATTTTAGTTTTTTTCCACTTAATTTTTATAAATACTGATCTTCAATCATTATGCAGCAATGAACTTAATAAGTTCCAGGGTATTTTGTTTATTACTTTGCTCTCTGAAGTTTTATCTCTATTTTGAAATTTACTAATATATTTTTAGTTTTTTTTTTCACTTAATTTTTATAAATACTGATCTAGATCATCAATCATTATGAGGTAATGAACCAAATTACTTTCAGGGTATTATAGAAGACAATTACAATTAATAATTTTTGATGTGTACCATACCATAACATGAATTGTCTAACAGTCAGATATAATGTATGTAATTAATTTTTGTTCACTAATTTGCATCTATATTAAGTTTTTGGACCACTAAATGAATACCAAAGTTGTCCTACTTAACCACAAAATTTTCATTGCTGGTGTAAACCTTATACATAAGAAAATAATTTATAATTAATAATTATCAATTTGAGTAGAAAAAATTCCTTTTTTTAAATAACTAACTTACGGAGATCGTCGCCCACCACCCTCTCTTCTCCTCTTGGTCTTTCCATGGGACATCTCCACTCTGATTCTTGAACTACAAAGACGTCTGCAAAAAATGTGTTCAAATTTCAAATCAGATTCTTTTTTTTAAATAAAGCATTCAAGTTAAAAATTAATTGAATTTCAATATAAAAATAAATAATAATAAAAACACTTAATTAACACATATTACTGTGTTATAAATTATTTTATAGTAATACATAAGGCATGCAAAATCACAAATGAAAATTACTGAAGGAATAGAACTAACTGCTAAGAAAAAAACTAAAATAAACAAATCACAATATAAATTTTTTACATACTCTTCTAAGCTTGCAAAACAACAAAATAAATTGTGCGGTTTTAGATCTAGACAAATATTTCAATATGGAATAACTTAAAGTAAAAAAATAAAATTTAAAAAAAATAATAAAAATAACACTTTAAGGAAATGCAGAAGTCAAACAGCTTTTTTTAAGACCATATTCTTTTTACTATTATATAAACCTTAAGAGCAAGACAAATATTTGGAATAAAGTAAAATGTTTTAAATATTGCATTGAAACGAGAAATTGGCAGGACTTTGATTTTTGGCCTAAAACCTCTTAACTAAAATATAAAAGCAGACTTCTCCCTAGAAAGAAAAAAGGGCAGGGTGCTCCTTCATAGAAAAGGGAACTTTGAGCTTTGAAAGGGCACTCACCATTGTTAAAATTTATCGAAATGTGCAATATTACATAATAAATGAATTTGACTTTCAATTTTTAAATTACCCTATACTATTTAATGTGTAAATTTCAAAAAGAAATTCTCACTCATTACCATAATAGAAAAATTTGAAGCTTTTGAAAAATAATTAAAGGCAAGCTATAAGAAAATCTACGCATAAAATTTCTTCAAAAAGAGTAAATTAAAAAATAGAAAAAATTTGATAAGCATGAAAGCTTTTTTTAATTTTTTATCTTTAACTTCAAATTATGAGACAATAAACATGTAAAAGTAAGTTTTTAAATAAAAGCTACAAATTTAAAGAAAAATAATGGTGACATTTAAAATCACTAAAAAATTTATAAATATACTCCCTTCAAGAAAAAAAAGAAATGAATAAAATTTAACGAGTTGAGAATTATCCTTATCCCTAACAAAGCAAATATTAATAATAAATATCAAAATTTATTTATTCCGAATAATTAATTTAATTTTTCAAGTGTGTAACTATTATCTAAACGGAATATTCATCTTTTTTTTTTTTAAAATGGAATAAGTAAACTAAATGTAAGTACATATAATTTATATTGATGTAAAGAGTACATATAGGAAAATAAGACATAATTCATTTAAAAATAGTAAAAAGATTTTAACATTTCGTGTAAAGTAAAATATAAAAAAAGAGTTATGTTTTAAAAGAATAAATAAAAAAGGAAACTTTCCACTTTTTCGTACTGTATTAAATTTTATGTGTTTAAATTTAAGCTAACACTTACAGCTAAACAATTGTACTGATCTTATTTAGACTTCAAATACAGTCTGTTCTTTTCAGTCTCTTGAAAAAAAGTACAGTACTTTTTCCTAAAGAAATCCTATCTCTTGTTAGCAATCTGATTAACAGTACAATATCTTCGGGAAAATTTAATTCAAATTATGGAATGAAAAAAATTTTATGCAAATATCTTGCGAGTTTTTACTATATACAGTCAATTCGCTGTAACTCGAAGTACGATAACTCGAATATTACTATAACTCGATTTTTTTATGAGGTCCCGACCCTTTTATCTTCAATTTCATGTTAATTATTCTTGATTACTCGAATTTTACTCCTTTTAACTCGATTGTTTTTGGATCTTTTAAAGCAAGAAAAAAAGCTAGGAGCTGATATCTTGCCCCTTCCTTTGCAACACACACACAATGTCTTTCGCACTCTTCATGGAGAAGCTAAAACTGTCCCTCTTGAAGTATGTGAACAGTGGTTAAATGAAACGTTACCAAATTTACTTCAAGGATACTCTGAAAATGTTTTCAGTATTGATGAAATGGGTTTATTTTTTAAATGTCTTCCAAATAAGACTATGATGTTTAAGGATGAAAACTGCTCAGGGGGTAAAATGACCAAGGAACATTTGACTGTCCAAGTTGGAAGAAATGCGCTTGGGACAGAGAAATTGCCCTTACTTGTTAGTGGAAAATACCGAAATCCCCGATGTTTCAAGAACGTAAAAACGTATCCCTTAGATTACAAGTCTAACAAAAAGTCTTGGATGACATCGATTTTATTTGAAGACTAGGTAAGAAAATTGGATCGGAAATTCTTTGCTAAAAAAAGAGAAGTGATACTCTTTATGGATAAATGCACAGCACATAGTGATCTACCTAATTTGAAAGCAGTAAACTTGCAGTTTCTCACGCCAAACACAACAACAAATTTGCAGCCGAAGGACCAGGGTATCATAAAGTGCTTCAAACAGTCTTATCGTAAAAGGCTTGTCAGTAAAATAATAAACGGTATTGAAAACAATATTTCTTTCAAAGTTGATGTACTTGAAGCCATGAGGCTTCTTTTCAGTGTTTGGAAATGATGTAAGCGAAACGACAATAAGAAACTGTTTCCGGAAATGTGGTTTTTTTAAAAGAAACCTGTGATAGAAGAGCTTCAAAATGAGGAAGTAATTGAGAACTCCGATGAAAACATTGCTGTTTGTGTTGATATTTCCGACGAAGAATTTATACAGATCACAGAAGAAAATGATGAAAGTGCTGCTGAGGAAGAAGGTTTAGAAACAATGGTCCCAAACATACTTGAAGCGCTTGCATCTCTTGAAGTTCTTCAAAAGTTTTTAGAGAGTCGAGAAGGAATTGATCATTTTATGTTTTTGCACCTGCAGAAAATTGAGGATTTACTGTTTCTAGAGACTCAAAAGATATTATTTCAACGTAAATGACGGATTACTTAAAAAAAACGTAAATTGTAGTACAAATAATAAAGTAAGTTATTATATTATACTTTATAGTTTTTTCTTAAATATTGTAAGCATTTAGAAGATTTGTAATAAATAAGCATTGATTAAATAATCCGACAATACTTTAGAAGTCCAAAACCGAAACTAACGGTAAGTCGAACTTCCGATATGTTGAAGTTTTTCGTCAGTCCTATCAGATTCGAGTTATCGCGAATTCACTGTATAACAAAAATAATTACAACATAAGATCTTAATAAAATAAAGGAATGAAATTAAAAATTAAATAAATATCAATAACTAAATAAATCAGAAGTGTGTACTTTTTATTAAAACAGGATTAAGAAAACATCAATTTCCTAAAAAAATAAAATAAAAAGGCAGTGTTTTTAAGAGATGAGTGCTTATTTTCACAAATGGGCAAGAAGGGCACATTTAAAGGGATCTGAGAGCAGGCAAGGCAAGCAGCCCTTCTAAAAACGCTTAGGGAAAACACTGATAAAAGAAAGAAAAAAAGGTTTTAGCATTGCTACTCTGTATAAAGTCAAGCTACTTACAAATTCTCTTTTAAAAATAAAATAGATAATATAAATTATCTAAACATAGTTTATATTCCCACTCAAAAATATCCTATAAGATTTAAAAGGAAAAATAAATAATTTTAAACATTCATTAAATAGTAATATCAAATATTCACAGAGGTGGATCCATGTTTTATACACTAGGGCTCATTTTTGCGATAAAAATACTTACTGTTGCAGAAAATAAAAACTATTTTTGTTGAAAAATATTCAGTTCTAGCAATCATCATTTTTTTTATGTTTAAAATCAAACTTTTTCACAATGCCTTGTTAAAAAATGCTTCTTACATTTTATCCCTAGTTTGATCATATCATCAAGCAATGACTTGATGATAATTAGCTGCCTATAACACATGCGTACAGAAAAAAAATTTGAAAAAAAAAAGTCAAGTAATGGTTTACTGCTAAAATATGTTAAAATATTGTTTTTCGAAGTTAGTCTTAAATACGCACAAAGGCATATTCTAGACAATAAAAAGTGCAGGGAGGAAGAAACTGAAAGGAGCACTATATCCTTCTAAAAGAGCCTTGTATTTCACAATTATTTGCATAATTTTAAAGAAACCCAAAACATACTATCATATAAAACATACAGAGCCTTTATAAAACAACATCAAAAAAAAACAACATAGAAGTTTGAAAAACCATGTGGAACGAGACAAAAAAAAATTACAATAATCACCCAACAACGTTAAGTGACAATAAAATCTAGCAAGTCAAAAAATGATAACTCAAGTTCGATCATCATGTGAAAAATATAACAAATTGAAAAACCGAGTGAAAAGGGACGAAAAATGAATAACATCTGAAAAATTATTATCGAACAATATGAAATTGTGGATGAATAAATCACAAATCTTACATTCATGCTTCATAAAAATAACAGCTTAAATTTGCAAATAAACAGTTTTTACCATAGAATTTTGTGATGGGGCTGTTTTTTTAAAATTTGAATTTTGTTAAGGGGCCACAAAACGGCCCTAATTTCTACCCTGGATCAAACTCTGATTAACATTAAAACAAATTATTGATAATATTGTTTAAATTAACCATGATTTCAAAGATAAAAAAGAAATCATTCAAAAGACTATTTTATTTAAAAATGTTTGTCTTTTTACGAAATTGCACTTTTCAAAAACAAAATTTAACATTTTATTGAATGGAAATCCTTATTTTATTTGTAAAAATAAACAATTATTTTAAATACATAAATATTACACCTGTTACTCCTAAAAAAAGCAAATGTAAAATGTTTTAAAGACATCTGATTAATATTTTTAATTAAATTATTTTGATTAGTATTTCCAAGGTTTCCATTTCAAATTAAATACAATCATCAATAGTATGAATATTAAATTAGACTTATATAAAATATTACATCAAAATTAAGAACAAAATCAACATACGATCCATCCAAACAAGCACAAGCTTCCTCAGCATCTCTTCTATCTTCATACTCTACAAATGCAAATCCGGGTGGACTGCGAGCAATCCAAACATTTCTCAAAGGACCATACTTGCTGAACACCTCTTCAATATCAACTTTGGTTGTACGATTACTGATATTTCCAATATAAACTTTACATTCCAAATTCCAATCACTAAATCGACGGGCTGACATCTCTAAAATATAATAAAGTTAAAATTATTGTGTTTTTAAACTAAATGGGCTGACATCTCTAAAATACAATAAAAGTTAAAATTATTATGTTTTTAAATTAAATCAAACTACAATGGACATTGTGTCTTTTGAAATTAAGACATATATACAGATTTCTTATGTCCATATACCTATAAAGAAGATTGACAAATGTTTTATTTTCTTATTTTATTTTATAATCGTCGATGAACTGTAATTGACTCCTTTTCGAGGTCGGATGGGATCCCTATATAGTTTAAATATACCTAATATTTATTTAAAAGAACTGTAAATGTTTTATGTACAAATTTTATTTTTTTATTTCATATCCGTCGCTAAACAGCCAAACCAATTTTGGGTTTGTTTATGACTACTAATGTTCAATACCATAGCATTGTAATTTTAACCCAATTCAGAAGACAAAGAAACTCCTGGATTGTGAGAAATTTACCTTTGTGGAGGACTTTTTGATGGAACTAACCCGCAATTGGACTAGAAAGGAAAGCCACGAAAACCTATTGTCTTTAGAATAAAGGTAAGGAGACTTTAACCCATGATCAGTCTACCACTGAGAATATTTTACATCAGCACTGTGGTCGGTGCAAGCCGCATGCAGAATTCATGTCGACTAGCAATCGCTGAATTTGAACCCGGTTCACCTCATTGAAAGCTCTATCCCCTAAGCCACCACGGCTTTTTCTTTTTTGCATATTTTAAAACTGTTATTGAACAGCAGACCCAATTTTTTGGGTTTACAACAACCAATGTTCCACTTCGGAGCCTTGTAATTTTGAATCTAATTCTGAAGACAAGGGAACTCCTGGATCAAATATTGAGAAAATTTTGCATTCGCGAAGGACTTTTTGTAGGAACTAACCCGCATTTGCGTTACATGGAGAGGAAAACCATGAAAATCTCCCACGGTTAGGCTGACAGCAAAGGGACTGTAACCCATGATCCGTCCACCACTGACGATATTTTACAAACGCTCTATCCCCTGAGCCATCACCGCTCTCTTTGTGTATTTACCAAAACTGCTAACCTGTACAATTGATGGGTTACTGAGTGAACCCTCGGTCACCCAGCATACACATCTAAGATAAATTTGTTCTGCCCATATGTTTAATGCTTCTAACAATGTCATTTAAATATGCAGTGATGTTTTCTTGTAGAGTTATTGGCATTACAGATACACAAATATGTAAAGATTAAACTAATGTACGTCAAAATTCAACAATGCAACATTAACACATCATTGCTTCAGATGGAAACATACAATTAATGCATGGGGTCAATTCTATGTGAAAGAGATGAAATGAGACAAATTTTGCTGTGTTAGAACTTAAATGCCTGCCAACAAAAATAATGCAAAATATTAGTTTTAGGTCAGAAAGCCGCAACAGACAAAAACAAAAAAACGGACATGGATTTAGAGAGACCAAGCAATATTAACAATTGTTCTGAAATAGAACATAATTCTAAGACAGAATTTTCAGCTTAACAAAAAATGATTTAATTTTTATACATGAAATAATAAAATGAACAATTTATAAAAAAAAATTCTTTTTCCAAAAAAAAGCTATTCGTGTGACACACAGACAAGGGATTGTGGTAGACATCGAAGCACATAAAATTTTAAAATATATTTATCAGTTTTTTTACTAAAATATTTTTTTCATTATCCGAAAAAGGTTGCAAACGATATATTTTATGAATTATTGTTTAGGTTATAATAGTAAAACAGGTTTATTGAAATTCCTGTCAAGGGACCTAAGATGCAGATCTTTAACATTGCCAGAAACTTGGTACTTGTATACATTTCTCCAAGTATTGCCTGTCTTTATACTTGGTATAGTAAAAATAATATTGAAACTAATGAATCAGTTAGACTAACCCTGCACATAGAGCACTATTGGAACTTTTATTTCTCATTTGATACATCTTAATACATTTTAAAAGTAGCACAATGAACTGTCTGATAAAACTTTTTTCCTTCATACAATATGATTTTATCTATTTTTATAAACTCTTCTCCACATTTATACAGTTCTATAAAATTCTATACAAAATCCGGGAACTTAAAAGACAAGAAAATATATAGTGCTTATATATATAACAATAGTGTAAATTGCTTCCATCACTTTAGGTACTTATGTTTCAACACATACAAACTATTTATTTACTAAATTGTATTGAACAAAAAAAAATTTTATAACATTGTTTGTTAGCTACGAATAAAAATAAATAAAAAAATTACTAATGAGAGCCAGCTTTTTTTTCTCCCTTTCTTTGAAACCCTGGATGGCCAGGCTGGGGGGGGGGGGGAGATTAATATTCAACCCTGTAGAAAATTCATATATTTTTATTTACAACGCCTTACGCTTGAAAAAAAAAGCTTTTATCGATAGTATAAAGGAAATGTATAGTGAAAGAGAATAAAATCTTATTGAAACAATCAATTTTAGTTATCAATAGGAAATATTTGGAAAGATTGGAATCAAGAAATATTTGGAAAGAAAAATATCATTTTAATAAAACAGTTAAAGATAATATCAACACATGTCATAAAAAGGAAGGGGGTATATGAAAAGATATCAAATAATATACAAAAATTCTCAGCAAGGCTTAACAAAATATTCGCATCCTATTAAAACGTAAACTATATCATATCAGAGAATTTACTCACTGATTCGAAATGAAAAATTCGGAATGTACCTTAATAAAAATAATAAATGAAATGCAATGGATGCGGAAATTAAGAGATTTTTTCGATTTTTCTTTCTTTTTAACGATTAATTCGATATGATGCGTAGCAGAAATTCTCTGTTGTCCAAATTCGAAAATAACTGATGACGTCATAAAGACAAGGGAAAAAAGCACTTTTAAAACGTTTTCGGCTGCTTATTTCACTAACGTTCAATGCCTCTTAATTAAAGTAAAATTTCTTTTCAAATGACAGAACTTTAACTTTAATTTAAAACTCTACTTGGAATAATAAAAGACAACTAACAATGATCTTCCAGGAAAAAATTTTGTACTCGAATTAGAATGAATACAAATACGAATTAGAACAGCATTAACACTTAGTTTGGTCATGTGCTCAGTGAGTGTGAGAATCAAAGCGTATCCCCTACATCAGTTTTATTTCTATTCCACTCAACGAGTTCTAATCTGATTGTGAGCATAATTTTATTACTTTATTACGCGTATTTATTGATTAATGTTGAAATGAGGAACTCAAATGGCATAAAATATGATCGATTGATTTAAAAGTCAAACTACTAAAATACGTTTTCCTTTAGAGAGAAGTGATTTTAATTAGATTTTTTTTCTTAAATTGATGTCTCCTTTTTAATTTTTTTTTAATCTTATTTTATTCTTTCTTTCTTTTTTAATTTGCAAAAGCTATTAATAGCTCTTGCACATAATTATGTCAGGTAATTATAATTATAATTAGCTCATAATTATGTCAGGTAAAATCTTAAAAATGTTTTTAGTATAAATTTTAATACATTTGTTATAAATTATTTAAAAGAAAGCAATTATTAATCACGAAATTAGTTATCTTTATGAAAATTGCAGAACGACACTGATGGTACTTTTACACCAGTGTATGTTTGAAGGCTCAAAAGTTCGCCACTCTTAAAGTTTGTAAAGTTTTTGATGCCGCCTTTTAGCAACTACTTGCATAATGCATTTAGTTCTGAAAGTTGCATAAACGATTGGTAACATTCCAATATGTGCATTTTAGAACATGGGAATTCGTTTGGGCGCAACAAGCTACAATGATTTACTTGTCAAGCAAAAGATTGCTTAATAGAGTTTCAACCGATCAGATGAACAACAACAGAAGTAATAAAGTTTTTAGCATCACGAAGTCTTGCATTCCGTGGAGACAAACAAACAATTGGATCGCAGCAAAGTGGAAATTACTTGGGAACTTTAGAATTGAGTTAACTTGACCCTTTTCTTGTTGAACTTATAAATAATTATGGGTATAAGGGTAATGAACATACATTCTATTTATCAGCTTCGATTTGTAATTAATTGAAGTTGAATCGATTGTGGTATATGAAGTATAAAACAAAATAATTGCAGAATTAAAGAAGGTAAAATACGTCTCAGTAACTATTGATTTAACCGACATTTGCTATCTGATATGTGAATGACGGAATTTCCGTGGAACGTTTTTTGGATTTTATTCCAACTGAAAGGCATAAATCTGAGAACTTGCCTGATACTATTTGACATACTATCGGATATCTTTTCCGTGACCAACGGCATAAATATGACCAAGTCATAAATATATGCGATTGTCGAGGACAAACATAAGATAACGCTCCAAATTTGGCAGGCAAGTACTCAGGTTTACAAGCAAGGTTTAAAGAGATCTCTTTTAACCTTGCGAAAAAAAGTACGGCGAACCTAACCTAACGAAAAAATTGCTGCGGGACCCTTCGAAAGGTCCCGCAGCAATTTTTTTACTATGCCTAGCACTCACCTTAAACTTAAGGCAGAATATTTAAATTTTTAGATTACCTCCCAGTAATTTAGCCTGTGATGATTAGTCAATCTCCCAGTGATTAGTCAATTAAAAATAAAATCTCTTTCAATGGCGTATAAACTCATAACTGATATGTTCGGTTTTTTTTTCAAATTTAAATTCTTTAAATTCCAAGGAACTAATGCTTCACTTTTATAATTTTTAGATTTTACGCCAATGATATGAATGAAATAAAACTAGTGCTATAATTAGAATATTTCAATCATCATTTAGCCCATAAGTATAAGTTAGACCAATTAGGAATTAGGAATGGATGAGATATATAAAATAGTAAAAAACAACAATCTCGAAGACGCATTTCCATTTATTGACATTTCACTTTGAAGTTTTTCTCACTCATGATAATTAAATGTAGCGGCTAACGGTGATTCTCTAGACAAAATTAATAAAAAATGAACTAAGAAATAATATGACTTAAGAAAGAATGAGTCATTTGTCAGTCATGAGAAATGAATATGATCTCTTGCAGGAAATTGATTTTAATGATGTGATATAAGGCTTTGCCACTCAAATAGCGTAAAACGTATTGCAACCTTAAACGTTCAAAGCAAAGTGTATTATAGCTGTTATAATAATGTCTCATTGTTTTATATTCTTGAAATAAAAAGAATTAAAAATTATTTAAATTTTTTTTCTTCAAAACTACTCAAAAAGGGCCCCTAAATAAAGATAGGCCCAGGGCCTCTAAAAACATAAAAACGGCTCTGATTCACCGACCTGAGCCAAAACCTGTCTTAAATAATGACCCAACTTAAAATAGTTAAACTTCATAACCATAGTCACCACCACTGCTCCAGACAAATGGCTAGGGAGTTCTTTATATAGATAAACTATAGATACACTGTTATAAGAATCGTAAAGTATGCTGTGTGGATGTGATTGTCATAAAAATCGTAAAGCATGCATAGCACACTGCACTGAAACTGTCATAGTGGAATAAATAAATGTTTTTCAAAATCTGTGTGAATTTTTAACTTGTCCAAACTTATGCAACGCAATATATTCGCAAATACCAAAGAACTTTTAATTCTACTGTATCTGAAAATGAGAATGCCTGTGGTTGGTGTTATAAATAATGTGATATGTTATTGTACCTCTTGATTATCTTGGACACAAAATTTTATGGTTGGACAAATGTCTTTACCAGTAATTCGGAAAAAAGACCAAGTTTGCTAAAAAAGACTTAGCTACAATTTTTTCTTCTTCTTTTGAAAAATAAATCAATAAAATTTACCTAGTGACGCAGAGTAGAGATTAAATATTTGTAAAATACGATACTGTTTCTTAAAAAAATGGATGAGGAGGGAAATAGGTACATTGTAATGCCATTACGGAGTTGCAAATTTTTTTTCTTCACAAAAGGAATCCCAGGTGCCTAAACGGAATCAAATTCGACGTTTTGGGCATTAAGCAGATGTTGCAGTCTAATGGAAATGAGAGACAATCTGATTAGATAGTTTTTCGTGGGTAAATACTTTCCACCAACCTGATTTTCAATTGCAGACGGAGAAAATTGAATCCAACGAGAATGATCTTAAGTGACGGGGAGCGTAGAATCCCAAATCCCAAGGGAATTGAAGCTACGAAAGAACCCATCAACTGAAAAAAATGAGTAATTACGAGAAGGGGAGGCGAAAATATTATCTTGAACAGAAGAGCTAAGCAGTCCGTAGTGTGTTCAGCCGAAGTTTGACGATTCTTACAGTGTTTGAAATTTACCCGAAGCAGAACGTGAGAATTTTTTCTTAGTAGGGTCACCCAAAACCCTACTTACCTACTTTGAGATGGGCTCTTTCATTTTTCATGCTAAACTCTGGAGTTGAAGGAGCTATGAGACCATCCGCACCAGCTGCGATTTTTTTTTTTTNTTTTTTTTTTTTTTTTTTTTTTTTTTTTTTTTTTTTTTTTTTTTTTTTTGCATTTTCAAGAAACATCTCATGCAAAAGCGAACGTGATTGGTGAAATACATTCACTTGTGGTCCCGCAGTGGACTGATTGTTAAGACACTGTTCCCAGTAGAACTTCGTAGTCAAACATCACTGGCTGCGGTCAGTGTGCGGGTGGGTGACCACTTGGATCAATCCATGAAGGGACCGAAGGTGTGCTGTATTGGTCCTCGTTACACTGTTCTATCATAAAGTGCTCGACTTAGCGAATAAAGGTCGTCGGGCTACCGAATCGGGGGTGCCATGCCCTCTGCAGAGAATCTAAATTGTAATGGTATCTCTTCGGATCATCTTCAGGGATGTTTCCCAGACAATCGCCAATAGCCCATTGTGCAAATTTAGAACTACGTAATTAGAGTGCAACAGCATTCACTTGTGAAAAATTTGTTAATCAAGTTTCCATTCGCATTCAAAAATATCAATATATCTATCAATTGCAGTGATAATGATCCCTAAGAATATTCTAGAGAGTTTTCGTAGGGGACATGGTAACCCAATGGTTAGAGAATCGACCTCCGGCCCGGAGGTGCCGGGGTTCGATCCTCGACTCCGCCTAAGGTCACCGAGTACATGTGATACATGCACTCGTATAATCTTTGGAATCGGTTGCTGAGCAGTATTAGGGATCTGAAGAAAATTTCCTTCAGATCTATGCCTAAATGGAGGAAGTAGCCTCACAAAATTGTGATGGCATGTCTTCGGATCCTCAGGGATTTTTCCCAGATCGTCGACAATTGCCCCTTGTGTAGCTCGAGTGCGACGAAAATTAAAGTACCTACCTAACTTCCTCTGGATGCTCCTGTTTTGAACTAAAATCTGGTCATTCCCTCCCATGACCTATGAATCAGTTAACACTTAACAGAATGAATTGTATGATTATTTTGAAATCAAGATATGAACATATAATACAACTATAATTAGTTTATGTGCCTAACGTACATTCAATTGTGTTTGATTTCGTATAATTAATCGCTTGTTTGCGTATATTTCCGTATATTTCTCAAGTATATTTTCAGTAATCATGTCGTTGAGTACTAGCTTAAGTTTTTATACATTAATTGGCTGTGGAACTTTTCAATCGAATTTTTGTTGTTGTTGTTGTAGTTCATTTACGTCGCACTAGAGCTGCACAATGGGCCAGTGGCGACGGTCTGGGAAACATTCCTGAGGATGATCCGAAGACATGCCATCACAATTTTGATCCTCTGCTGGGGGGGTGGCACCCCCGCTTCGGTAGCCCAACGACCTGCACGCGAAGTCAAACACTTTACAGTAGAACAGTTTGACGAGGACCAATACCGCACACCCTCGGTCTCTACGTAGACAGATCCAAGCGGTCGCCCATCCGTACACTGACCGCAGCCAGTGATGCTTGACTTCGGTGATCTACTGGGAACCGTGTCTTAACTATCAGTCCACTGCAAGACTCGAATTTTTGAACATCCCAAGTAAGGATATACCAGAACAAAATTAAGGTACTGATTATTATTTACATTACATAATTGTTAAGAAACTTACTCTGACATGTTCCACTTGTTTCTTTGCTAGCTATAACTATTCTTGGATGCTAAGAACAATACTTTGTTTCAAACGTTACATAATTGTACAAAATCGTATTTCATGTGCAATCGTCCCACAGTGGCTGATTGTAAGTATACGGTTCCCAGTAGAACACCGAAGTCAAGCATCACTGACTGCGGTCACTAAGAGGGTGGGTGACAGCTTTGATCAGCCTGCATAGGGACCAAGGGTGCCTCGTATCGGTCCTCGCCAAACTGTCCTACCGTGAAGTGCTTGACTTTGCGCTGGTCGTTAGGCTACCGAAATATCTCCAGGCTATAAATTATTTTAAATAAATACTTGACTGTCCCGCAGTGGACTGATCGTACAGACGCGCAGAACACCAAAGTCACGCATCCCTGGCTGCAGTCAGTAAGTGGGTGACCACTTTGATCAGCCTACGTAATGACTTATTATATTTTTTTCTCTTCATTTTTTGTTTATAGCATTTCTCTCATTATTTTTTTTCTTAATTCTTTTCTTTTATAGCATTTCGCTCATTGTATATAATTTTTTTCTTCATTTTTTTTTAAGTATTTCACTCATTTCTTTTTTCTTCTTAATTTTCGTTTATTGACTGGGAGACTTTATTTAATTCACCGGATTTTTTTTTTGAGCAGTATATTTTTAAGCAAATTAACTAATTTTAATGCGGACCACCCATCAATGTTGACGAGTTCATATCACGTCTGGGTCACCATTGAGGTGATATAATTATCGACTATGTCAACCTTCATCTATCAAAAGGTACCTCAAGATAGAATCAAGTTAACATGTCTTATATACTGGTGAATTGGTATTTAATATTTGTAGTGGTAGTTACGCCACAAATACTCTTATAAATATAGAGCTAACTTATAAATATAGAGATAATTTATAAATATAGAGCACTTATAAATATAGAACAAATTTATTTGTTTATTTATTTATTTATTATGATTATTTTGATTTTCAACCAGTTTTACATGTTTTTATAATAACCTGTATCCATCACCCTGTTCCGCCCCATGTTAAACGTCGGCGTAATTGGCCCCTTATTTTTTTTTAAATTGCACTTTTGTTTTCTTAAAACATTATTTTATTGTTGGGAATATTAAAGCATAATGTGTATATAAAAACATTTGCAATTCTTTTAAATAAATATTAGGTACTTTTAGGTATATTTAGGCATTTTAAACTAGAGGTATCCCCCCCCCCGACATCGAAAGTGGGTCAATAACAGTCAAATTCGATGTTAATACTAATAAATAACAAACAGCTTACAATAAATGACAATAAACAGCTAAATTCGTCATGACCGTAATTTGCAAGTTAATTTTATTAGGTAGTTAAAAAGACACATATTTTCAGACTCGTTTTTTTCCTTGTCTTTAACATTTTGTGTAATCGACATACTTTTCTCTTTTTGAAACAAAAAAATTTTCTTTCACTTTCTTTAAATATCATTTTTGTGTTAAGAATATTAAAGCATATTGTGTGCATAAAAACATTTGAATTTCTTTTTAAAATAAGGATTAGGAATTTTTAAAATATATTTCAAACTAGAAGTATCCCATCCGATTTCGAAAGAGGTAAACACCTAAATTCAATATTAATAATAATCAATAAACAGTCCACAATAAATAACAATAAAAAGCTAAATTCTTTTTGACCATAATTTACTTGTTAATTTTATAAAACATCAATTCTAATTACTAATATATTTCGTAACGTGATAATTTTCAAAATTTTCTCTTACACGCAGCACATCTGCCAATAAAACCGAATTTCATATTGCGCATTCGCCAGTTGTAATTATGGTGCAATGCAACAGCCATAAAATTAAATAAACTTTGTTTCAGTTTTCTAAAATTCTAAACTTTTATCTATTTTCATGGGAAGAAAGTCGTTTGTTCCTAAATGACTACAACAAAAATTAAAATTACTTTTTTTTTTTCAATTTCTGCATACTGATGGAAAAGAAAATCACTTGATATCGTCGTTGATGTAGAAATACGAGATAAACATCTTTGGTAGTAATCAGCATCCATTAACACATACGTTATAAACGGTATTTATGTGAACATTAATTATTTATTTAATGGCATTGACCTTCTAATATTTCTTTATCCTTTTTCTTTTTTTAACATTATTCTCCGTCATCATTTTTATTTTTTATTTTTGTTTAAAATTAACTGTTGTTATTTTTGCTTAAAATTAACTAAAATAGTGTATGAAGTAATCCTATGATATTTTATTACAATGAAACGTTTTATTATAAACATGTTTAATTAACGTTTTATTATTAGTCAAAGTAAAATAAGTAATTTTAACGTTTATTATACATATTTTACAAGACTGAAATAGTGGCACAACTAAAAAAACAAGCGTTTTGGACTGAGAACAGGTATAAATATGAAAATACACATTCTTTCAACAGCAATACTAGCACAACTCATAATTCAACTTGAAGGTAATCTTCGTTCAAGCAAACTGAAGCATTTCTTATGCATTTTCCTTAGCAATGAAAACTTTAAACTCCACTTATCTCAAAACTTGATTTTTTGAGTTGTGCAGCTATTGCAGCCCATTAGCGATATATGCAATTAAAATAACAGATGCAAAATTGTAAAGCATTAATGGAAATTAACTTTTTCACTCTATTACTAATTAATGTATGTGGCGAAAAACATTCAACGAGTTTTTTAGCAACTAATAATTGAATAGAAATTTAAAATGCAAAATTGTAAGTAAAAGAATTACTGCGCAAAAACGTAACAACTGAGTAAAAGAATTAGGTTAAAATTTATCTCAAAAGGATGAGAAACTTTAATTATTTTACTAAATTTGTGCTTAGACTCAGCAACCAACATTTTTTAAGATAGTGAAATTAAACAATTTTTAATTTTGATGTAATAATCTGTCTTTCGTGATTAAACTAAAATGATAAATTTTGTTCGAAGTTTTTGATTTTTAATGGTGAGTGTATAGTTATAGAATGTCAGGTTAATTCATAATTTCGACCATAGGGCTTGTAGAGAGCAACCGCCATTACAACATACAGGGCATATTGACATTACAATTGGGCCATTTACACCCTCTCTAATTTGCCAATGATTAAGTTACTTCAAATTTATTTTAAAAAAAATTAAAACGTAAAAAAAACAAAAAACTATGTATTCTTTTCATATATTATGATAAAAAAAATCTCATGTCGTTAGAAAAAAAAATTCTTTTTTAACCTCTTCTTAGTATTTCTGAAAATTAAAACGAAATAATAATTTTAAGAAAATCACGAATTCTATAGTTTGGCGATTGTTGGCGAAGAAATTAAAAAAAGAAAATTAACAAAAATTCTGCGTGCGACTCAGGTATTGGAATTTTATCGAAAGGATGCTTGGATGTTTTTAGAACGACTGTCACCTTTCAACCGCTCCTGTTACCCTCTTCATAACCTTGAAAAATATTTAGCTACAATCTATTACGCGATACGTGAACAAGTTCTGAATTATTTACATCAAGAAATCCAGTTGGAATGTTTTAATAGATAATCAAGAACACCATCCATGTTCATTCTGCTTTATAATTCAAGTACACAAGTAAGATTACATGCTTTTAAAATACTGTATTTAGATTCATTTAATGTTATTTTCCTTGTGTTTATTTGTGCTTTTTTCAAGGTCGCCATCTGGTGAATTTTAAAGTAACAAATTTTTAGGGGTTATCTGGGGTTATATGTCAAGCGGCTTAGAATTCGAAAGATTTAACCGATTTAACAAAGATTTATTGTTTTCGAGAATCGTCTTAATATACGTCATATTTACCTCACTATTTTCAATTTACGTCATTTTAGTGATTTTAATTTGAGGTAAAAGAACTGTTTTGTTACATTTCGGTTTTTTTACGGATTATCTACTACAAATTCAAGTAAACAGGTAACTTTTGACTTATACAAAGTTATTCACCTTTGTGTTTATTTGTGCTTTTTTCAAGGTCGACCATCTGGTGGAGTTGTAAGCAATAAATCTTAAGGGGTTATCTAGGATTATATGCCAAAAATTTTACCGATTTTACAATGATTTATTATTTTTGAGAATCGTCTTAATATACGTCATATTCACCTCACTATTTTCAATTTACGTCATTATAGTGATTTTAATTTGAGGTAAAAGAACTGTTTTGATACATTTCGGTTTTTTTATGGATTATCTACTACATCACAGGAATTTGTTTCACTTTAAAATTCAAGTAAACAGGTAACTTTTAAAATTTTATATTTTTGACTTGTACAAAGTTATTCCCCTTTGTGTTTATTTGTGCTTTTTTCAAGGTCGACCATCTGCAGGAGTTGTAAGTAATAAATCTTTAGGGTTTACCTAGGGTTATATGCCAAAAATTTAACCGATTTTACAATGATTTATTATTTTCGAGAATCGTCTAAACTTACGTCACTATTTTCAATTTACGTCATTATAGTGATTTAAATCTACGCCAGAAGAAAAGTTTTGTAAACACACTCATGGATTTTCTTGACTCTTAAAAGAACAAAATTGGAAAAATCTTGTAAATTAGTATGATATTTTGTTGAGTTATTCGATACTTCTTGTAATTAACTATTGAGCTCACTGAGAAATTTTAAAACTCTGCAAATTCATATCACGAGTTTCAATAAGCAAAAGGAATTATTTATTCTTACCAAATATTAATTTAAAAAAAAATTAAATAAACTATTATTTAAAAATTTTATTTACTTAAATTATAAGTTACATATTATTGTTTTTATAAATTAATGTATTATTAACCCTTTGACGGTTATGAACGAGTTCAGCTCGCAATCGAATCGTGGCTCATAATGCCCGCAAACGAGTTCCGCTCGGGAGCAAGATTTCTACCGTAATGGTTAGTAACGAGCACTACTCGGGTAGTGAAATTTTTCCCCAATGCGCGCTGACGAGCTGAGCTCGTTCGCCATAATTATTCTGCATTGACTATGTTAAAAACGAAAAGTACGTAAAAACTGTTATTTATGTACTACGAATACTTTAAGAAATTTTTAAACGCGTGAGGCGAGCTATCTACCGCATCCAGAGAAGCCAACTTGCTCCGCTTTGTAAAATAGTATTTCCTAGTGATAGCGAAAGTCAAGTTACTTTCAGTTTAGTATTTTTCCTTTTAAGTAATTTTTTCACCACTAAATATCAAAAACTATAAGTATCATATAAAATGCAACGTTAAAGCAACAGTCTACTGGTTACTCTATTAAAAAGTAGGCGTAACTGTCCATCTCCAACGAAATTATAACAATTCCAGAAAGCGAAGCAGTTGGCATCGCCAGAGAAGGGTGACATTTTCGGTAGAACAGCGGTGAAAAATAGCTGCCACTTTCGACTATTGTTTGCTCGTAATACTGCGCGAATTAATTAAACGAAAACTGCTCATTTCCCTGACCGTCAAAGGGTTAAATCATTACTTTTTGTTACATGCTTAGTTGATTTAAGGGCGAAAAATGTAAAATATGCAATATTTTCGTGATTTTTGATACTTTATGTCTAGAAATACTTCACTGTCTAGAAATCACTGAAGTTCTGATTACAAGTAATAAATAAGCTCTCTTCTTATAGAATTCATTTTGGGCTTTGTATTAAATATCCATAGTAAAATGTAGTTAACTTAACGTAAAATTTGAATTGAAATTGCTTTTATTTGCATAATAATGAGCACATGCACCTCTAGAAGAGTTATTTCCTGAACGAATTTTGCATCCAAATTTACTTAATTAATATCAAAAAGATAGTCACAAATTTCAGTATGATAAAAATGTTGATTAAAAGTAATTAATAAATAAACTGTTGATTAATTATTAAAATAAGATTAATTCAGTATATGTTTGAGTTATTTTTATACCTACAGAAAACTATTCTAAAAAAATTGATTTTTGGAGCCACTGCAAAATATTGTTTAGTTTCAATTAAAATCTCCTAGCCCCTATTCTTACTGGGGTAAATTTAGTACATATCTGCATGTTATCTAACAGACATAGAAAATTCTGGCAATAGTTTATAGATTCGAATACTTCTCCCTCCAATATCCCTAGAATATCTCCAATGTTAGGCGGATCATGGGTAAGAAACTCCTTGACATCAAGCTAACGTGGAACGTTATGGTGGTTTTCCTCTTCATGTAACGCAAATACAGGTATAAAAATAAACTTAGCTTGTTCCAATCCTTGATCCGAGATTGTCCTTGTTTTCTAGGTTGGTTTCAAAATAACGAAGTGGTGAAGGTCAGCATGGAAGCACAAAAAGACCAAAGGGTTAGCTGCTCAACACCGGTTACAAAATAGAACATAAAATAGCAGATGCACATTTAATGAACAGCTTGGTGTAAAAAGATTCCAAGTGATATTCAGAACAAGCTCAGCATTCTGTGTCTAAAAATGGAACATGAGGGGTCTTCCTGCCCGAGCGGTATCGCCCTCCAAACGATGTGCAAAGCGTGGAAGTAGCGGGTTCGAATCCCGCTGTTACGCTGGATGTATATTTGTGAAGCCCTTCTTTGTATTGTGCTACTTGTCCTTTTACTTAACAAAGGCTTATAAGTCTTAATTGAGCACACAAGCCTGCAAATGTAAGTTGTACCTATAAACAAACGTTATATGGCCAGATTACATAAATGGAAATAGCTATAAGCTAACGCAAAGAGCTCGCCGCACTCTTCTACAATCTATGACCAGATTTATTCCTAGCAAGCGTGGAGGTAGCAGGTTCGAATCCCGCCGTAACCCTGGATGTATTCTTCGTGATGTCCTTCTCCGAAATGCTCTGTCTTTCTACTTGACAAAGGCTTATAAGCCAAAATTGAGCACACAGGCCTGCAAATGTATGTAATTTCAGTAAAGCAAAGCAATAAAGTATTCCTAGCACTTAATTTTTTCCAGACGTTAATCAGAAAATTTAGATGTTTTTTTTTTAATAGGAAAATGGATTTTGCAAATAACTTTCTGTTGTTATGTTTTAAAAAGCTAGTGTTGTTAAATTCACTAGAAAGTCAGTCAGAGCAGTAGAATAAGAAGAACGACGAAGTTTCCTTTCAAATAATGACCGTAAATCTAGTGATGTAACTATTAAAACAAGTTTTTTTCCAATAGCTAGTAGTTATGTGATTAGAGAATCAATATAACCAATGTTTTGTTTGAATATCCTCTGAAAATTAATACATATTGTAAATTCCTTTTAGGCTTCTTAGATACATGCTTTAGATTCTCAATTTGAGATTAAAATGATGTCACTACAGAGGATTTCTGTACAACTCAAAGGCATTCACAATCCTACCTGTGGAATTTACAGAAATACAGCAACAGCCGTTGCTGAAAAAACCGATGTGAAACCATTTAATTCCATTCCAGGACCTCCTAGACTGCCTGTTATTGGGAATCTTCATTTATTCGGGAAATTTGGTAAGTCCGAATTAACACTAGCGTTATCATTCTTTTGTGTCTATTATATTCTTATTAACATTGGGATAATTAAATTGAGAATTAAAATGTACTTTAGAACTGTGATTGTTTTTCTTTATTCTATTCAAATTGAAAATGTTATTCCTCATTCTGTTTAAATTAAAAACGAAGAATAATTAGATTATGTTCTCGCTCAGCTGTGGTGATATGGATTGTTGATCAGAAATGGAATAAGCAAATAATATTTTGTTATTTTGAATTTTTACCTGCTTGCACATTGTATGCAAAAAATTACAAATACTTTGTTGTATATTATACATAGTTCAGAGGCAACATAAAGTTTTACAGTTAATATGATCATATCGCTCATGGGTTGCAATAGTGGCACAACTCAAAAAATCAAGTTTTGAGATAAGTGGGCTTAGTTTTCATTGCTAAGCAAAATGCATAGGAAAAGCTTTAGTTTGCTTAAACGAAGATTACCTTCAAGTTGAATTATGAGTTGTGCTACTATTGCTGCTGAAAGAATGTGTATTTTTATATTTACACCTGTTCTTAGTGCAAAACGCGTGTTTTTTTAACTGTGCCACTATTGCAAGCCATGAGCGATATTATCGTTACTTAGATCGTAGTTGCGTTGAAAGTCTTACTTACATAAGTTCAAACTTATATAGGTCAGAATAATTTGAATACAATAATAAAATAATTCAAATACAGCAGCGATACCTTTCAAAATAGCCACATTCTTCAATTAAATAATAATTTAAACTAAATAGTCGTATGATATTTACATACTCATATTATAATGTGTTTCAATTTCAATAGTTTCTGTTGACATCAATTATATGACACAATTGAAAAATATGTTGTCCTATTTGGTAAGTTCTTTAATTTTTTTTCTATATACACATATTTCTCTTATGTAGCAACAAAAACTCTGGTATTTCTCTATTTATTGGCAACATTATAGTTATTATTCATTTTGTTAGGTTGCCTTAAGTAATAATAAATAGTTTTAAAAAATTAGTCATACGTTAAGTCAGATTCATTTTGTTACGTTCTAATAATAATAATAAGCAATAACAAGTAATAATTGCGTAGTGTAAGTAATAATATTTAACAATGATAATTATTAATAATAATTAATAATAATAGTTACTAATAATGATTATTAATTATTATTTAAGTAGTGTTGAATGTTAGTTTTTCGTTAAGTATTTAGAATAATTTTATATTTTTTATAGGGATAAAAGATTAGATATAAAGCAATTAATTTATTATTGTTAGTTAAATATTAATTTATTATTNTTTTGTGCAAAATTTTTCTGCACATGCATTTGAATATAAATTTCTGAGATTTTAAATCTGTTATTTTACCTTAATTTTAATTAAAAAATATTTTAAAACCTGCTGATTACCTATAGTATAATTAAATTTCAATATAATGCATGGCAACTGTTGGTAGTTTTGAAGTTTATATATTTTTTTGGCAAACTTTAGTTTTTGACATTTTTGACGGGTTTTTGACGGTTTAAACCAGTATTATACCCTCTTCATGTCAAAAACCACTTTTTGACGTCAAAAACCCAACCCTGATTCCAATAATAAAAAGTAATAACAAGTAATAATTACGTAGTGTAAGTGATAATGTTTAACAATGACAATTACTAATAATAATTAATAGTAATATTTATTAATAATGATTATTATTTATTATTTAAGTAGTTTCGAATAGTTAGTTTTTCGTTAAGTATTTAGAATAATTTTATATTTTTTTTATAGAAATAAGAGATTAGATATCAAGCAATTAATTTATTATAGTTAATTTAATATTAATTTATTATTACATTTATTTTTGATCATTTCTAAAATAACCGTAGAAATTTGAAGCATAAACGCTGCTGAGGTGCCGATTACTGTCCTAGTACTTATTGGTGACGGAGCTTGCCTTTTTCCAGCAACAGTATATATAAGTATAATGCGAATCTCAAATTATGGCTCGAGAGGTGTGTGAGGTAGTAGTACTGTATGAAATGGATGATAACGATTAATCGATGATGACTGATTGGGATGAGTTTTCTTTCTTATCCCATGACAGAGATGGAAATAATTTTGATACTCTTGCTGAAATGTCTATACATATTTTACCACGTTTATATCAACTTGCCTTCGTGTATGTCTGTTCGGGTGGAATTTTGTAATCGATTTCAAACTCGACTAGTTACAGACTTCAAATTTAGCACATAGTTCAGAATTGGACGACAATGCATGAAAATGAAGAGAAAAAAAGACATACGAAGTAAAATAAAATTAAAATTAAAGAAAAATTAATATTCTCGTGATCGTCTTTTGGTGTCGATTCGATTATTTCAAATTAGTGTCAGCTGAAAAGTTTTGTGTACTGTGAGTGAAAAAATTGAAATTTTGGAAGTGAGTACAAAAAANAATAAATAAAAAAAAAAAAAAAAAAAAATCAAATTTAAAAGTAATATTTTTAAAAACCACGTTTTTGTATTGAAGAATAATAATTAAAAAGCAAAAATTTGAAAAACGAAAAACGTGGTGAGCATGAAATACATAACAGTACATATACACATTTTCTTACACATGCACAGCCACATCCACATATACATCATCCTACACATGCATATACACAAACATATTCCACATACACATCCACATTCAGATACAATTACAGATATACATACACATATTCTCATGAGCACACATACACACACTAATATAACATTACTGCTATGTATTTTATGCTCCCCACGTTTTTCGTTTTTCAAATTTTTGTTCTATAATTATGATTCTCCACTACAAAAACGTGGTTTTTAAAAATATTACTTTTTATTTCGATTTTTTTTAAATCTATTATCACAGCGTAAAAATTACATTGAAGTGATTATAGCTTAAGTTTCAGCAATTAGAATTTATACGTTTTTAACCCTTAAATAAAAAAATGTCATTAGTCGAGAAGTTTTAAATCATTTTTAAACAACAAAAAAATGTTTATCTATGTATACTTTTAATGATTTCAGGTCCTTATTCCATGGATTACCTTCAAAAAGCTTTCTTAGACTTGCACAAAAAGTATGGAGATATCGTAAGAGTAGATCTCGGTGTTCGAATGGTACTGCTTTTTCGACCCGAAGATATCCAGCGACTCTACTCAGTGGAAATGTTGTATCCAAAAAGACCTATTTTCGAAGCTCTTAAGCTTTATCGAAGCAAAAGAAAAGATGTTTACAGTTGTGCTGGCTTGGTTTCGGAGTAAGAATTTTCTAAATTATCGATTACATTCAGGTGTGAAAATTAGATTATTCAATAGACTCGTAAAGGGCGGAGCCTCTTCTGTGTTCAGTTGCCTCATTCTTCGTAATCTGGATAGAGATTCATTAGATTTTATTACGTCACGAGTTCTGCTTGCGTCATTGTGAAGAAGAAAATATTAATCCGTTACACAATTTGCGAAAAGCTGTTTCTTTTGAAGTTGAACAAGAGTAGGACGAATATTTACGTTTTTGTCTATAAGATTTTTTAACATCAGTTAAAATTTTGCGTCTTAAAATAAAAATGTTCAGGCGTTCTTTATTGTTAGATATTAAGTGAAGACAAAAAATTTTTTAAATGCCTCTTCTTTAAAAATAAAAGCAAGTTTAACGTCTTAGGACATAGGAACATTTTTTTGTCAGTCAATATTTACGGATAACCATTTCAAATTTAATTTTCAAAACGATAATTACATTATTTATTTGAATTTCTTTTTTTTTTTACGTTTCTTATATTAGAATTTTATGTCCAAGTACATTAAATCCAATAAAAATGCTTCATAATCACCGTCCTTACTGCATATTTTTAGAGCCATCGTCGAAACTGAAGTAAAAAAAATTAAACGTATTAGGAATTTCCAACTCCAGTTAATATTAAAGTTGGTAAAAAAAAAAGAAAAAAAATCCTAGACTGTTTCGAAACATAATAAAGCAAACTGGGGAAGGCCGGGTAGAAAAAGGGCTTCTTCTATGGTAGAATTTTGTGCAAAATACTACATTGCGACATTGACAATCGCTAAGGATTTGTGCAAAGTAGCGTTCTTAAAAATCGACCATATAGAGGCCGTAATAGAGCAGTACCCATTATCTGCATAAATGGCAGTGCACACAATCTCTTCATTCATTCGAAAATTCATAATGTTAGGTATCGAAAATTCATAATGTTAGGTACCAAAATAATCATAAGTTGTTGAAATTCTATAGCTCTACTGCCCTTTGTGTGCCCTGGTTTGTTACACAATTCTATTGCATACAGCCCTCTGTTCTGACTTCTCCCTCCACCTACGGATCTTCAATATTTCCAAGTCATCAATAACGACGTCCTTCCACATTTTCCTTGGGCGGTATCTTGGCCTGGTTCCCATAGCTATGCAGTTGATGATTTTTTCCATACACTATTGATATAACTCGGATCAAACTCTTTTGATAATACTAGGGCCAAACGTTATTAATATCCATATGAGCATTAGAGGGATTGAAATTATTAAAAAACCTGTTTAATTGAAGCTGTGAGGATTAAATGCATCTTAGCGAAAAGAAAAATTTTCCAGTTTCTTTAACTAATAAAAAAAATTTCGATTGTTTAAACCTCTCTTTTATTATACCTGGCATAAAATATTATCAATTACATTCGTTTTTGTTCCGTTTCTATTTTTATTCCATTTTTTTCAGAAGTTCCTAAAAATGCATATTAAAGGTAGTCATTACAGAACATCCTGTATAGTTTACTTGTTGTTTCAGGAATGGAAAGGAGTGGAAACGTCTCAGAGATGCTACAAATTTTATGTTATCTCCTCATTTTGCACAAACCTATTTATTGGGACAAGAAAAAATTGCAGAAGATTTCGTTTCTTTCATGCAGAGAAAAAAAAGTTTAACTGGACAGATTCCGAACTTTTTGAACGAAATATATCGATATACAGAAGAAGGTAAAAGTTTAATTATATTATTTAATATATTTTTAAACTGCATTTTGAAAATTTCAATTGTGAATTATATTTTGATTAATGAATTAAAATAATTTTATTGTTATTTATAAAATCATTTTATTGTTATTTATAAAATCATTTTATTGATATTTATAAATAATTTATAAAAAATTAGTTAAAATCATCTTTTTAAATTTGACGTAAGATGATACTTCATATAAACCAGTTGGCGAACACTTATTGTTAGTACATGTTTTGGCGATATGTGAGAGACATACGTGAAGTGAAAACAACATGAAAAGGCGCAAGTGATATCAAATACCATACAACAAACATACGGTCGTTTGGTACTACAAATGTGCACTTCTGAGTCGAAATAACTAACAGAGTGGCCGGGATAGCCTGGTCGGTAGGGCGCTCGGCGCATGTCCGAGAGTTCTGGGTTCGAACCCCGCCGGTCGAAGACTCCCCGTGTAGTAAAGTGACTGATGCACGTTAAATCTGTCGAGTTGCAAAAGTCCTCCATGTTCCCATAACAAATCAATACCTCTGGGGGTACTGGATTGGAGATCGATCGTTCTCTGATTCAGGTCAAAATTACGATCTGTGGATGAATGAATTGATGAATGAATGGGTCCGCCCTATAAACGGGTGCGACGTATGGTGTGGCAGAAGTCGAATTCTTGGCCATAGATGGCGCCACTGAGAAATAAGAACAATCGCACCCCTTCTGCCTAAACAGGCATAAGTCAACAACAACAACTAACAGAAACTCACGAACAATGGACAACGCGTGATTGGTGTAGCCACTTAAATGTTCTATGAAATATTTTCTTCAACTTGATCTTCGAAGACAGGAAAGAGGTTCAACAGCTTTTTTTATGTTATGAATTCTACTGGTTTGTGTGTGTGTGTGTGAGAGAGAGAGAGAGAGAGAGAATATGCTTCAGTACCGCTGTTTTTTAAGATTTGGTACAAAGTTGGGACAAATATTTACGTTTTGGCTAAAAGCTCAGTTAACAGTTAATTTTGCTATACCACAAAATTAAAAGATTGTGTTTTGGCTATTCTTGAGATGTGTTTTTTTACTATTATACCGAAACTATTTCGTATTTTGTTGTAAGTGATATTATTTGCGCTTAATCACGTTTTTCAAAGCTTTTTTTAACCACAAAATAAACTTAGCCTCAACCATTCTTTATTTGATTGCAAAGCAGATGGCTTAGTATTCTTTTCTATACGTCATGAAATTTTACCATTTATTTCAGTTCGAAAGCAAACCACTTGTAAATCTATATGTAAGCCGCCTGCATGAAATCAAGTCATATGTAAGAAAGGGGGGAGTTTCTTCTGTGATTTCGTTTCTGCGGGCTACAAAACTAATTATCGAATGTTATTTATTTATTTTTAAATTTCACTCTATTCCTTTCAAATTTTTCATTATATATTTTTAATTTAAGATTTCTAAGTTTCTTAGTTATCTTTTAAAAAATATAATCATATTACCATGCACATTAATCATAATAAAGCATGATCGAGAGCCGCAATAGTTTAAGGCACTGTCATTAAAAAACTAGGCTCATATTCCCCGCTACGTTAATAAGGAACTCCAACTTCTGATCAATGAGTATCAGCTTGCTTTTTGAGTAAAGGCGGTTGGTGCTTAACTACATTGCGACCATCATGACGATGGTCACGAAATTGCTGACCCTTAACCCTGTCGTGGGGACGATTTATTTTACATAAAATTGTGATTTTATTTGAACTTAAATATGGTTCAATTTAAAAACCTATTCATATAGTAGAAAGTTTGAATGGTGTATTGATTCAGGTTAATCTTAGAATCGATATTTTTGAAAATATAGTAATTAGTAATTATAGTAGCAAAAAATTGTAGTTTTGTGCAATGAAATATTATTGTTATAAAATCCAAACATAAATCATGAAACTTGACTCTTTATTATAGCTGTAGGACTGGTTTGTTTTGGAATGCGATTGGGCCTTTTGGATGCATCAAAATCTCAGAACAATTTCAGTAAGAAACTTACTCAGTCAGCGGATGATGCAATGCAAGGACTGGCTGATACACTTCTTGGGTTTCCATGGTGGAAGATATTTAATACTCGATCCTACAAGAAACTTGTCAGTTCTCAAGATTTCTTCCAAAGGTTCGTTTTTTTTAATTAAAATAGTTTGAGTAGCATTAAAAATTAACCTTCCTGATATAATATGTGTTTGTTCTTTCCTTGCAAAAACTGTTCCTAATTATCCTCCATAACAAAACATTAAAATAGAGCGAGAGAGGAAAACTAAAATGATAAGAAGACTTAGGCTTCTGAACAAACCAGGTAATAAATTTAACTAAAAAAATATGCTCCAAAAAAATTTTTTTTTCTTACTCTAAGGCAACAATCACGTTTTTAATTTAAAAGAAAGAAATTGTTCATCTGTGCGTAATAATATTAATATATTTGCAGTGCAAATTTGCCTCAATAAATTATTACAAATCAAATACAAATTTAAATCAAATACTCATACAAATTTGCTTAATAAATTATGTCAATAATTATGTGAACCTTACTAAGCTGCGTTTCTATTCAAATTGATCAAATTGTAAAAAATCCAGCTAAGTGTTCCAGTCAGTGACCATAAAATGAATGTATACCTATAATGATCATAAAAACGATCTGCTAGTAAATTTTTCTTGTAAAATCTATGGCTGGCTACTTACCATAACTTAACATTATGCTTGTAAAAGTTATCTTCGTCTTGGGTCTTCACGTTGTTTCAGACAGATGAGTTTGTAGTCCACTGAGGATTAAGATTTGTTTGTACGTTTTCCGTAATTACAGAGGGTGCAAGAGAGATGTTCTTTGATGACAGTTGGAATCGAACCTGGTACTTCTGTGGCCATATCCTGATACTGTAACTACTACGGAAAAGTGCGTGCGGGTGCACCCTTTAACAGAGTTGAGAAGCTTTAATAAGCAGCCGTTTTATTTAACGTCTGATCCTATTAATTTTGCCGAAGTTTGTCACAATTGTGTACTTGCTCTTCAAGAGGAAGATTATGGATACTCACACATGTTAACTATGACGCCAGGGCCTGTTGATCGTTAATAAGCTAAATGGAATGTTAAAATTCAGCTAAAAAATTCTTTACATAAGTTACAATGTTAATTAGCATGAAGTTAATTAAATGCAGCCCCGTATCGAACATCGAAATTGCCGAAATATAATTCTTCTCGTTTACGTCTTTTAGACGAGACAAAATTTGACTTAGATTTATTAATTGTTTATAAATTTTTTTGTAGCCCTGATATATTTTTGTTTTGAGTACCTGGAAACTTCGATGTACAATTTGTATGTTTATGCTCTACATGCTTCGTGCCTGCATTATATAGTGAAAGAATTGAAATATTTGTGAAAGTTTCAGTGTGAAGGAATATAGAATGTGTCAGTTAATAAAATAAATACTTGACGACTTAAGGCCTGTTTAGACGATCCAATTTCTTGGACAGAGATTGATCGATATTGATGGAAACTTGTTTTGCTTTGAGCTTGGATCGTGTAAACAATCATCCAAGAACTTGGTCCAACTTCTTGGACGATAGTAGAGCATGTTCTACTTTCTATCCAAGTTTTTTCTCCCTTAACCAATCAGCGTCTTAGGTTTTGTGACGTCAACAAGCTGGCAGCAAATTATGTCATTTTGTTGTGGGTTTTCATAGATTTTAGTCCAAATAAATTGATCTGTTGAGGTTTATTTGTGTTATTATGATTTTATTTGAATTTATTTAGTAATTTTAAACTTATTCAACATTATAAAATAATACTTACATATGAACAATGCGCATGCGCAAGTTTTTCTTTCAACGAGTCAGCGACATTCAAGAACTTGGATAATGTCAACGAATCATCCAATTTCTTGGATAGAAATCCGTTCAATTTCTCGGATTCAAGAAATTGGACCGTGTAAACAGGCCTTTAATGCCACGTTTTAAGAACCAATCAAGATCGAGATACCCACCCTATGTCACTCGCAGTTATCCCATTATGGGTATTTTGCATCCTACTCAAAAAAGGAAGCTAGCAGTATAAGTTAAAGGTCAGCTCCCCGAATTTCATGAAACTTTCTTAGAGTGCGTAGTATCGTGTAATTAAGTTAAATAAGAGTCGGAAGAATTGGCATGATAACTGGGTGAACTTGGCGATGCGATATGGAAGTTTGAACGATAATATAGTTTATCACGTTTCAAAGTTTCTTACCATGTATGTGTGGTTTCAGTCATCTCGTTGTATAGTCAGTTGTTTTTAAATAATTATTATTCATCAACGTGAATAAAATGTTCTTCTTAATATTTATCAAAACAATCTATTTTAGTAAAATTTTACTTTAAAAACATAGATAAAGTAATATAATAGATAAGCTATACAAGGTTAAAAATGCAAGGGATGTTAACAATATAAAAATACAGGAAAATTTCGTTAAAACAAAACCTACATTAATTTGCTGTTTTTCGGAAAATTTTGATTAACTTAAGTATAAAAAAATCATAATAATAATATAAAAACTATGAATATCCTTATTTGGGTTACATTAGTGAACAGCTTTTTAAAAGTCCGCAAAATGTAAAAAAAAATTTAGGTCACTGCTTTATAAATTTCTAAAATGTCAGATTTTTACATTTTGTACCAGGTAAATTATTTAATAAAAATGTTTAATTCATTGTTTAGCATCATTTTAATAATAACAATAATAAAAAGTTTTAATTATTATACTAGCCTAATTATTATTTATTGTTTTATGAAAGCATTTGCTAATTTTAATTATTTAAATTTATTCTTCAATAGAATGCTGTCTTCTTTAAAAAATACCATTAAAGATTATTGATTGTTTAAAAGTTTTTTTCTTGAATTTCCTTTTATAACATTAAACTATTGCGATTCTCTTATAAAAAAATATGTCTAAACATTCATAATTTCTTTTTTACACAGTTTCGATGTATAAAAATGTGCATAATTATGTATATTGATGAATTAAAATATTATGTAATGATTTCTTTTCTTCAGTTTCGAAAATTTTATTTTGAAGCATCAAAAATAAAATTCTTTCTTTAAAACGTTTTATTAATAGGTTTGACATAATTTATAGTAATAATATTAACATTAATTACAAAAATATGTTCTTTTTGCTTTATGTGATTTTCATTTATGACGTTTCGCTTTCTTACACAAATTATAACACTCGTCTCTTTTTAAAAACACTATTAAATGATTCTTTAGTCATTTTCAATTTCACCGTTGCCGTCAAAATTAGCAAGGTATGAATATGAAAAAAAAACTTATTAGACTGTATAGTAAACATAACAGCAGGCTTAACTTGTATAAAAATTAAGTAATTTGTTGTTGTCTTATCTTTTGTACATAAGGTGCCTTATATAAAAGAAAACCTTGAAATAAATTTCAACGTCACGTGACACTTCAACACGCAGCAAATAAGAATGGCCTCCAGACTCTATTAAACTTGGTTCAACTAATCGAGCTGGACCTAGATATATCACATTGCTCTTGAAATTTATGGAGAAAATAAAGTGATCAACCTTGAAGTTAAAATAAGTTGATGTGTTTTAAGTGTTATTTAAGTGCAAAAATAGCTAATCATTTCGAATTTACGATTCAATTGGGAGAAAAAGTGTAGATGAAAAAATTATAACGTTTTTCTTTAAAAGTAACTTTTTAAACAATTTTTACCATTCTAAATGCTTTCTTAATTTATATATGAAGTTTAAACAAAGTTGAGGTGTTTTAATTGTTATTTAAGTGCAAAAATAGCTAATCATTTCGAATTTAAGATTCAATTGGGAGAAAAAGTGTAGATGAAAAAATTATAATGTTTTTCTTTAAAAGTAACTTTTTAAACAATTTTTACCATTCTAAATGCTTTCCTAATTTATAAATGAAGTTTAAGCAAAGTTGAGGTGCTTTAATTGTTATTTAAATACAGAAATAGTAAATGATATCGAACTTGTAATGATACTAATGGACTAGTAAATGATATCGAACTTGTAATGATACTAATGGACTAGTAAATGATATTTAAATGCAATTGCTGGAAGAGGTGTAGATCGTAAATCTTTAATCTCTATTTCCTTTAATAGTAGTTTATTAAATAATTTTTACCATTATGAATTTTTTCTTACTTTCATAACAAAGTTAAAATAAGTTTAGATGTTTTAATTGTTATTATTTAACTACAAAAATAGTAAATGAAGTCGAACTTCATTAAAATGCAAATGTTGCATGCTTTTTTCTTTAAAAGTAACTTATTAAAATCAGGGGGGAAAGAATTAAAAAGATTAGCGTGGGAGGGAATGGTTTATGTCTATTTTACACAAAAAATAACTGTTGGTTCACTGCCTGTTGCATTTTGAATTTTACTAAAATTTGATAAATCAATAACGTAAAAAACTGGTTCTCCCGAGAGTTATTACACAGTGAAGATGCGCTTTACTGAGGAAAAACCCTTCCTTTTCAAGCGCAAAATCGTTTTTTCTCCGAATCAGCTTTTATTGACTTAAACTGTTCTCTTTGTCGTCTTTAAATGTTTTTTTTTATCATTATGAATATTTTTTTTAAAATTTAATAACACCATAGGTGTTTGATACCTGACATCTTTTCTATTATTTTACTGTACACTTCATAAAAAAAAATTATGACAGTGTAATTTTTAATGTTAATCCAGTATTTCACAGTTTGAATTGAAGTATTAAATCTCTCAATAACATGTGACGAATCTAACAAGTTCAGTACGTCAGTTGTCATAATTCTTTTAAATTTTTCAATGAAATTTTCTGTGCACTGGTAAAATTAATCTTTAGAGTAAGTGAAAATAATGAAAAAAGAAACCTATTATATCTTTTTATTTTTTATTTTTATTAAAACACTACAATACAAACAAAAACAAATGTAGAGTAAATGAGCAACTTTTGGATAGCTAGGTCAATTTTGGATGCAAAAGAATGGAATAGCCTATTTGCTCAAATCAGTTATAAACTATAACTAAATAAATGCTATCAATTAAAATGTAATTAAATAGTTAATTAATAAATGATATTAAATATTATTAATATCTACTGTTTGTTATCTATATTATATTATTTATTAATTAAAAAGGCTAATATTTATTAATCAGTATCGAGAATTAATAATGAATATTTATAAACTGAATAAATAATATTCATTTTTCTTACTTCAGAATTAAAAATAAATCTATACTTTCAAAACTAAATGAGGCAAACACTGCTTAATTTATAATTAGTTCTAAAATCTGATATATTTCTTTAATAAAAGTTTCCTTTATTGCAGCTTTGCATCGGATTGTGTTAAAATAGCAAAAGAAAAACTGAAGGATGATAGTATCAAAGACAAATCAGAATTAGAGTTTGTCAAAAGACTTTTGGAGGATCAAAATTTATCGCCTTCTGATATCAGCCTTTTGATGACAGAAATCTTTTCAGCCGGCATTGATGCAGTAAGTAACTAATTCTGACTCAAAATATTATGGAGAGATAGCCATAATCTGAAAATATTTTCCTAAGAATTTAAGGGCCTTTCTCACTGAATGCGAAAAAACCGCACATGCGATCGAGAACCTGATTGGCGAGTTTTTCGCGGGTAAATATATTTCGCCAATCAAGTAGTGGACCATTAACACTGCATGCGAAAAATTCGATTGGTGAAATATATTTATCCGCAAAAAACTCGCCAATCAGGCAAGCCGTCGAAAATTCGGGTTTCTTAATCTTATTGTCCTTTCTTGCGAATTTCGTCATAACTGTTGCAGACAACCAAATAATTTTACAACACAATTATAAAACTCGTTATCTAAGGATAATTCTACGGAAAAATTTAAATTTTGATAATTATTTTTTATTTTGTTATTCATTTTTCAACTGTATATAAATTTTGCATCACTGTATGTAATTTTAACTGACAAAATCAAAAATTTTAACCGAACAGATCAAATATTTCTAGAAAAATGGAAATTTAAAAATCCGAATTTTTAAATACAATTTAGCAAGTGAAAAGAAATGGAATTACTATTTTCGATTCGCTTAAAAGTTCTTGAGCTATGGTGAAACGCGAAAAAAGGAAAAGGAAAATTAAGGGTCTCAAACTTCTCTCCAACGACTGAGGGAATCATATTTTCCAGATTGCATCTAGTATGAATATATTCTAAAGGTTGTTGCTACAAAATACCCTGCATCACTGGGAAAAAAAATTGGTCAAAATCATCAGAATAGGGTAAAATTAACAATGTTTCTGGCTGCATGGTAACACCAATAAGTGCGGTAATTTATACCATATCACTTTGGTATTTATTTTTGGTAAAAGTAACAATAAAATATTTTAATATCTAATTACCACACATGATTAAAATTAACTGAACATGGTAAAAATTGCAGTGCTTCTAACTCTATGAAAAAAGCATAAAGCTAACCAAGCAACCTCGCCTTTCCCCCTAACTCTAACTGAAATGGAGGTAGTGGGTTCAAATCCCACTGTAATCTAGACAAGAAAAACCCACATGTAACTATAAATAAATAAACTTGGTTTGGATATTCCGGCTAATGCAAAGAATAGCTTGTCTCTTGTAAAAATGATAAACAGAGAAAGACAGCACAAAAATTATTGAACCCGGTACCTTTACACTTCAAAGCGTTTCGATGGACAATAGCCCTTGGCATCGGGGACGAAAATAATGTATGTTTTTTCACTTGCAATAAATCCTAGGGGTCGTCCTCGTTTTGCGGTATCTCTTTTCGGCTAAACGCTCTGAAGCATGAAGGATGGAATTCCACTATGAAGCTGGATATTGATTCTTGCTGTCTTATTAAACCTAGTGCAATCTATTTCTCAAGTTGAAAAGAGTTTTTAAGCTACTCTTTGTACTTGTATTTAGACCCGTATGTGTATGAGAATAAATAAATAAATCCCACATCTCCCCCATAAAAGATACCTAAAGCAGACACCATAACTTGATCTATCCAACTTTAGATCTTTGAAAAGCATTAGTTAGGTCCATTTTTCCTCTGTTGTAATTGAGAAACATTAGTTAAATAAATAATTAAAAGTAATTTAAGTCCTATTAACCATTTAAATAAACCACCATTTTAAATAAACCATAGAATTAACAGATTATATGGTCTGCTATTACTATTCGATTTGGTTAGAGGCATAGACATCAAAATGTCAAACTTGCCAAATGAATGGTAAAATAAATGATAGTTCTAATACTATAGAGCAGAGTTTCTTAAACTGTAAATCCCCATACCAATTGCGGTTGCCAAAAATTTTGGTATTTTTGATATTTCTCTAATATATTTCAGAAATTTTATAATTACCAAATACTTTTGCACAATGTGTCTGAAAATAAAGATATTACTGACAAAGAAAAAACGAAAAAGTTTCGACGAATTTTTATTATTGTATGTTATTAATTCCCATATTGTCTCTTGCTTTAAAATTAAAAATTAAAGCTCCAAAACTGCAATAGTATATTACAGAAAAAGTGGAGAAATTGACAATTTCCTTCACGCGTTTGTCTAATATTTCTCAGACCGTCGCCAATAGCCCATTAAACAGCTCTAGTGGGACATAAATAAAGTGATTCATTTGCAAATACAATTTGTTTTGATAAATCTTCATAAATTTATTAAATTATTCAATTCTTGCTTGATCTAATTATTTTTTCATAATTGTTTTTAATTGCAGACAGGAAATACAATCGGATTTATTTTGTACAATCTTACTAAGCGTCTCGATGCCCAAGAAAAGTTATACGAAGAGATAAAGCATTTCATGGAAGATGGTTTACCATTGTCAGCACAAAAAATGGATCAAATGAAATATTTAAAAGCATGTATCAAAGAATCGTATAGGTATGTTTTAAATAATTTGTGATAATCTTTGTTTTGTCTATTTTGTTATATAATTGTGTAAAACTAATCTTCAAAATTGTGAANATCAGCAGAATAGGGTAACATTTACAATATTTCTGGCTCTATGGTAACACCAAAAAGTACGGCAATTTTTACCATCACTTTGGTATTGATTTTTGGAAAAATTGAAAATAAAATATGATTTTATTATCTAATTACCAGACATGTTTGAATTTAACAGAACAAGGTAAAAAATTTTCTGGCTCTACGCATTAGTTAGGTCCATATTTTATCTGCTGTAGTTGAGAAATATATTAGTTAAATAAATAATTGACCGTCACTTAAGCCCTATCAACCATTTAAATAAACCGTAGAATTAGCAGATTATATGGTCTATTACTATTCAATTTTGTAAGAGGCATAGACATCAAAATGTTGAAATTACCAAATAAATGGTAAAATAAATTATAGTTCTAATACTTTAGAGCAGAGTTTCTAAAACTGTAGATCCCGATACCAATTGAGGTCACCAAAAAGCTTAGTATTTTTGATATTTCTCTAATATATTACAAAAATGTTTCAATTACCAAATATTTTAACACAATGTGTCTGAAAATAAAGATAAGACAATATACAGGCAAAGAAAAAAAAGAAAAAGTTTAGACGAATTTTTATTATTGTATATTTTTAATTTTCATATTGTTCCCTGCTCTAAAATTAAAAATTGAAGTCCCAAAACTTCAGTAATATATTACAGTAAAAGTGAAGAAACTGACAATCTTCTTCACTCTTTTGTCGGATATTTCTCAGACCGTCGCCAATAGCCCATTATACTGCTCTAGTTAGACATAAATAAAGTACTGCTACTACTACTTCATAACTATATATTGTTAATTCATTTGCAAATGAAATTTGTTTTGATAAATCTGTATAAATTTATTAAATTATACAATTCTTGATTGATCCAATTATTCTTTCATAGTTGTTTATAATTGCAGACAGGTAATACAATCGGATTTATTTTGTACAATCTTACTAAGCGTCCCGATGCTCAAGAAAAGTTATACGAAGAGATAAGGCATTTCATGGAAGATGGTTTACCATTGTCAGTGCAAAAAATGGATCAAATGAAATATTTAAAAGCATGTATCAAAGAATCGTATAGGTATGTCTTAAATAATTTGTGATAATCTTTGTTTTGTCTATTTCGTTTTTGTCTATTTTGTTATATAATTGTGTAAAACTAATCTTCAAAACTGTGAAAGAACAAACAACAACAAATCCCATAAATTCATTTCACAATAAGTTGATTCAATATTATCTATAATTAAAAAAAAAATTCAAAGTTGGTCAGTAAATATTTCGCATAGACTGCAACTGTGATTGCACGAATTGAACTGTAAAATTTATCAAAACAATTAAATCATAAACAATAACAAACTCTATTATTCCATTACCATTATGATGCTTTTCTGTACACATGATGGGACAAAAACTTCTAAAAATGACTTAAAAAAATTTTTCTTAATATAAAATCAGTGCAAAGTTTCCATTTAGAATCAAGGAAAAATAAGTTTATTTTACAGTCTTCCTATAATGTTTTTCTAAATTTTCTTACTCACGAAGCATTCATTATGTGAAGCATCTATACATTTAACATGACAATAACATGTTACATTTAACATGGATTTTTCATTTCTACTTTTTTAAATTTTAAATAAATATATCAAGTTTGTGATTTAGTATAATTTCTCTCTCTACAGATTAACTCCAACAGCCGGAGGAAATGCAAGAATTTTATCTGAACCAACTGTTATATCAGGATATTATTTACCAGCCGATGTATGTACAATGATCTTTATTATTATTACTCATAAACTGGGGTCCGCTGACGTTTCATAACCCCCCAGATAGCTTCGCAACAATTTTGTTTCTTGACTCAGCACAGTCTTTCTTTTTCTCAATAATTGAAATTAATTACTTAAAATTTATGTTTTTAAAAGAATTCTAATCACTTCCACTCATGCTTCTCACGTTCCATGCACAAACATTTCTCTTAGAATCAATTCTGTTTAGATAAATTTGTGAATAGAAAGCAATCACTTCATCAAAATAACTTTCAAAAATCAAGCTAAATTGTTAGAATAAATTTGCTTGGTTACAATTGCAACTTTATCAATAATTTTTCTAAAATTTTCAGTTTTTTTTATATCCTGCTTTTAACAGTATTTATTTGACAAGGATTGAAAAAATACATATTACGGGCCATCATCATTACAGGATTTATAACAATCAATAGCAATCCCTGAAAATCTTGTAACATCCTTTTAATATTCCTTAACTTAATACATGCTACTATTTACTTACTTCTACAATTAACTTCTTTTACTAGGTTTTATGCATTGCTCAGAATCCAATAATATGTCGTCAAGATAAAAATTTCGACAGAGCTTCGGAATTTTTGCCAGAAAGATGGTATGTCGATAGTACAGCCCGCATCAAAAAAGTTGGACACCCTTACAGCATTTTGCCATTTAGCCATGGCTCAAGACGTTGTGTTGGACAAAGATTTGCCGAACAAGAAATAAGACTTGCCATTATCAAGGTATTATTTACTTTTAATCAGGATTGCGTTTGAAAGGTGACGTATTGCATTATTTTTTTTTTATTTCCAATGAGCTGCACAATCGATCTTGCCGATGAGCAAACCTAGTGCGTTCTCTAGAGGTGGTATCCACTCTTTCAGGACTACCACAATGGGTAAGATACCATTGTGAATTGCATTATTGCCCAATGCAAATTAAAATCGGTTTAACTCACAAACTTTTTCAAGCTGTAGGAATTTTAAAAATTCTCAGAATCCAATTACATATTAAACTAAAACTTTAAGCAGAGCAAATGAATTTATGCCAGGGAGATGGTATGTTGTCAGTAACAATCACATCCAGAAAGTCAGTCAACAACAGCATTTTGCATTTTAGCCATGGCAAGACATTATAATGGATAAGGATTTAACGATCAAAAAATAAGACTTGCCATTATTAAAGTTTTAATTTCTTTTCAGTATGGGCTATACTTAGTCTGATAGTCTGGGCCTGGATAGTCTGATTGGTATGGCGTTGAACTCTTGTTCGAAAGAATGGGAGTCCAGCCGGACAAAGAATCCACATGTATTAAATGGTGACTTTTGCGCGTTAAATCACAAAGTCGTCCAAAATCCTATAACAAATCAATACCTTTTAGGGTTCTGATCCAGTATTTCCCTTGTCTTCTGGATTGGGTTCAAAATTACAAGGATATGGAGTTGAACATTGATAGCTGTAAACTCAAATTTGGATCGGCTTTTCAACGAGGGTTATATAAAATAAAATAAAATATCCTTTACGATTGACAAACTGAGTAGTCGCTCAGGGCCGTTAAAATTTCGCAAAATTTAGTAGTTTTAAGAACAGTTAGTAAATTTACACGTTTTTTAAACTTTTATATTGCAATGTAATTCAATTATAGCGTAATACAGGGTGCGAAATTTCCACCAGCGAACTTGCCATTGGTGACTGAATATTTTGGCCAGGCGAGTAAGTTTTGTCATGTAAAATGTTGCGCTTCGATTCAAACTGCCATCCATATTTTTCTCAAAGTTTTCGTTTGAAATCTTGGAAAATTTTAGGGCTCAACTTTAGTGAATCTTCGAGGCCACGAGACCTAAAATTCTCTGGAAGATTCACTAGTGATCATAAATGAACCCCTCAAACATATTTTGACCCTGACAAGTAGTATTTTATTTAGTGCTGAAAGGCAGAGGTATATAAAGACGATGAAGTGCTGTAAGTATGGGAGCAATTTTAATGTTTTTCTTATTTTAATGACTTTTAATAATATGTGGAGGATGTTGGAATCATTGAAAAATCTGTCTCATATATTTTGCATCCTTTTATGGTTTATAGATGCCAAAAAGTTTTTCATACTACATTTATTAAAATTGTTCAGATTTTTTTCGCGAGTGGCAAGAACTTGAATTTGGTTAGCATCTTTAAGAATTGGAATTTCCTGCCTTAGTGTAACATATTTTAAAATGTAGCGTGTTAATAAATTTGTAACAGTAATTTTTGTCACTTTTTCTCTTAAAATTTTATATCAAATCTTATTGTATCGTAATAATTTAAAAACTAAGCAAGAACTTAGAAAATGCAGAAAATAATTTTTGCTTTTGATTTCAGTATGTAAATTTCGTTTCGAAATTTTTTTTTTCACACTTCATTTGTTGTTATTCATGCAAAATTCATGCCATAATGCAAGACTTTTCCATAATTGAAGGTCCGACAGTGGACTTATCGTAAAGACACAGTTCCCAGTAAAACACCGAAGTCAAGCATCAGTCAAGTCACGCTGTGTCAGTAAGCGGGTGGGTGTCCACTTTGATCAGCCCGCATAGGGACCGAGTGTGCGCGGCATCGGTCCTCGTTAAACTGTTCTACCGTAAAATGCTCGACTTCGAGCGTATCAGGCTACCAAAGCAGGGGAGTCATCCCCTTCGCAGAGGATTAAAAGCGCGATGGCATGCCTTCGAATCATCCTCGGGGATGTTTCCCAGACCGTCGTCTATAGCTCATTGTGCAGCTCTAGTGCGACGTAAATAAAGTACTTCTCTACCATAATTGAAAAAATTGAGTTTTTCACCTGAATTTATTCAGTGAGAAAAATATAAACAAGTAAGAAAAAAATATCATAGAACTTTAAACTCCCCAGAATTTGAATACCTAAAATCTAGCGGCTAGTTATTAAATTAGTAACCAGCTGCAGAAATTTGCAAAAAATGCTTTTTCTTAATACAAAAAAACTGTAAAATTAATATTATTTAGTAATATAATTTAACAGTAACATATAATTTTATTAATTGCAGTTTAATCTATACCTTATCAATTTGAACATCAAATTCTACAACAAATTTAATATAATTATTAATAATAAAAACTTACTTCCGATCGATATATGCAAATTCTGTGTCTGCTTTCTACGTGTTTCGTAGAATTAATGTGACTCTATTTATTTATAAAAATATGTCAGGTCATTAATTTCGATGGACTTTAGTTTTGTAAATATTTTGTTTTTAACTTTATTATTATTATTATTATTTTTAGATTATCGAGAAATTCCGAGTGGAATATGATGGTCCTGAGATAGGAAGCAAATCGCGTATGTCCCTTATACCAGACAAACCGCTGAATTTTACTTTTGTCGAGCGATAAATAGATGTCTGGCTGATATTGCTCAAATGAGTTGTGAAATAAATATGTATGAGATTGAAAATAAATAAAACTTATATGTATATTTTTTTAAAAATTTCCCTTTTAACATTTTGGATTGTATGAATTTCAATATATTTTTTTATCTATGTTCTAACTATCATAAATAAAAATTTTTAATTAAAGTTGAGTTCATATATTTTATTCTAATTACAGAATTCAATTACAGAACCTTCTTTCTTTATTTATTTTTTTCGGTAAACAGATTGTTACCACAGATAGATAATATTAAAAAATAATCAATCAAAACACTGTTTATTATTTTGTACATGTCTTATTTAAAAATAATTAACTTTTTTTTAATTAATAAGTAAAATTTCATTGTATTAATTTAACTTACAGAGCAGTGTAAGCAATTAAATTGAAAACTATCATAATATATTTTTTAAAGTTAAAATTATTCGTATATATTTTTTTTAAATACAATAAAACAATTTGATTTTTAATTCATTCAATTTAGATTCAAAAAATACAGAACCAAATTTCTCGCTTAAAAAAGTCAGATCATGAAGAAGAAAAAAATACGTACCTGAATTTCTTCTAGATAATCCTAAATGAGAGATGAAAATATATTTCTCTAATGTAATATTAACTGTTTGACTTAAGTTTTGTTTTATTTAGTTATCGTCGTAATTTTTTAATTGTCGTGTTGGAAGCCTGTGACGCCCATGACTTCAATCATGCACTATATTTGTACAGTGTTTTGGGAAAAGTGAAAAAAAATATACGTTGTTCTGATTTAGATGAATGAGAAGTATTAAAAGTTCAAACCACTTTGTAATCAAGAAACTGAAAATACCAAACAACAAAAGTTTTTGTTTATTTTTCATTTAAGTTATAGATTTTTCAGGAGCAAGGAGAAGTTTTTTATTTATTTAATTTTTAAAGGCTTTGAAATAAAATACTTATAATACTAGAGAATACGAGAAAACAGTTTTCGTACATCGCATTTTGTAAATACGTATTTAATACGAATTTTCCTCGAGAGATGACGCCACTAGCGTTTTACAGTTTGGATAAAAAATTAATAAACCTATTTTAACGAGACTATTTTTTTATACACTGATCGAAACCAAAAGACGGTTATATTCGTTTTTTTCCTCGCCTTTTTCAGTAATAGGAAAAATACGAATTATAAGTAATAAATAAATAAACCAACATAAGCGCTTTTTTTTAATGCATTGATAAAAATGCTGATATCAGGTAGCACTGATAAAAAAGTATTTTATTAGAAAAACGGTTCTTGCTTTTTCTTATTGAATCCTACAATTTTGTTTTGAAGTTATATAACTAAAATTAAATCTATATAAGGAAGTTATATAGATTTAATTTTAGTTATATAAAAGGAAGTTTGTTGTGTTGCCGAAATATGATCAGCGAGTGCAAGGGGCAAGTTTAGCCCCCCGATCCTTGAATTTGCTCAAAAATTTCAATTAATGCGTTCAGGAGGAACTTTTGAAAAATAATTTTTTCTCATAGATCATTAGGCATTGTACCAAATATGCTAATGTAAAATACTCCCCCCCCTTCTCCCTAAAGGGATGAGTACCGAAAAAAATTGCTTGATCTTAGTTAATTTTGGCTATCATGAGTTGACATGCATCATGCCAAATGATACTGAGGGTAATTAATCTATCTTCTTGGCTAAATCTAAAACCTGCAGCTCCCAGGAAGGGCAGTAAAAAAATAATAAATAAAAAAAATATGGGTTGATTTTAGTTTTATTAATTGTTCCGGTATATGTTTTTCAGTTTTGTGCGTTATTTCATTGTGTTGATTAATTCCGATTAATTAATTAATTGCTTTTTTTTACCTCCTACGTAGAACTAATAGCAAATAAAAATGCATTGCATCAAAGTCAGTCTAGTTTCAAATTTTTCCCTCATCAAGTTAGAATAAATCATGAAAAACATAGAGTCCTATCACTTAAATCCTCAAAATAGGCGATTAGAGTTACTTTTTTTAATAATAAATACATTTCAAGTATATAAATAATTAAAAATATTCAACAGGCTACTCTTTTCATAGTTACGATCCAATTTTAAAAATTAAAAAAAATTATCCTACTTTTTAATAATGACTTTAATCATTTTACCTGTAAAACAAATGAACAGATTTTTTTTAAATATGATCATGAATATTATAAATGAGCAAATTTATGCAATTAGAAATGATGTTTTCAAATTATTGCATACATAAATGCTAATATAAATGGTAGCAACTAATGGTAACAACTGAAGTACTTTTTTCGTAACAAATTTTAAAATAAAAAATATAATTTTAAACCGCTTTTCTTTCTTTTCCGCTTTTCAAATTTATCCAACTTTTTAATGATGACTTTAATAATTTTACCTGTAAAACAATGAACAGATTTTTTTAAATATGATTATAAATATTATAAATGAGCAAATTTATGCAATTAGATATGATGTTTTCAAATTATTGCATACATAAATGCTAATATAAATGGTAGCATAAATGTTAACAACTAAAGTACTTTTTTTCGAAACAAATTTCAAAATAAAAAATATAATTTTGAACCGCTTTTTATTAAAATAAAAATTAAAATTGTCATTAGAAGATTGAATGTCTGGGAAACCTAAAGTCATTTTAAACTACGAATGTTTGAACAACTCACATATAAGTTTATTTCTGAATGTGTGTGAACAAAACTAAATAGTTTTAGATAAAGTTGTTTCCTTATTATTTATTATACAAAACTCGAAGGAAACCAATAGAAGGAAACCAAAGCAGCTCCATTACTTTAAATGAAATAATGTTAAATAAAATGATAACTCAATGCAAAAACTAATTTCTTAAACATTACTTTTTTTCTGGGAAAATTGTTTAGAATGAAAATATAAATTTTATTGCTTTCAATGTACTTTGAAAAAGTCAATTGCAGTTAGTCAAAATATCATTACAATTAAGGGTTCTGATTCTAACATTTTTAAGCAGTTTTTTTTTCTTCTAAAAAAGTTGTAAATCATCACTCTTGGCAATACAGTGTCTTTGATTTATCCTTTTTAAATCCCAAAATACTTTTGTATTGCATCCAGTTTCAACGAAATTGTATTCATGACTTAGTTTGAATTTCGGAAAATCTCGCGTCATCTAGCAATGCGTATAGATGCATTATCCTGCTGTGAAACTATAAATTGCTCTAATTGCTTGGTTTGAATTTCGGAAAATCTCGCGTCACCTAGCGATGTGTATAGATGCATTATCCTGCTGTGAAACTATAAATTGCTCTAAATGCTTAGTTTGAGTTTCGGAAAATCTCGCGTCATCTAGCAATGTGCATAGATGCATTATCCTGCTGTGAAACTATAAATTGCTCTAATTGCTCAGTTTAAATTTCGGAAAATCTCGCGTCATCTAGCAATGTGTATAGATGCATTATCCTGCTGTGAAACTATAAATTGCTCTAATAGCTCAGTTTGAATTTCGGAAAATCTCACGTCATCTAGCAATGTGTATAGATGCATTATCCTGCTGTGAAACTATAAATTGCTCTAATTGCTTAGTTTGAATTTCGGAAAATCTCGCGTCATCTAGCAATGTGTATAGATGCATTATCCTGCTGTGAAGCTATAAAATTGCTCTGAAATTCAGAAGTGATTTTAAAAATTTGGCATTTATTCCTAATTTGTTTATTTTTTTTTTGTCATGTGAAATGTGATTAAGAGAATTTACGTAAAAGTATAACTGTAGGATGAAGGAAAAAAAAAATTTTTTTAAACTAATATGTATAAGGTTATTATTATTTACTGAGTATTATAATTTACATGGAACTATAATTCAAATAAACAAAGTGCGAAAGAAACGAACCATCCCAAATAATTTTTAATGTAATGACAGGATCCTTACGTATTAAGGAATCAATCATAATGGTTTAAAGGGATGACATGAAATTAGCGAACAGATTAATACAAACGATATTTTCTATTACAAAACGAACTCAAAACTTACTTTCTCTGAATAAAGTTTTTTTTTTNCAAAAAATTCTCCGAAAAATTCATTCAATAAACCTTTAAAATTATTTTTAGCATTTTAATAGCTAAATTACAAAGTAATGACTTTATAAAAATATTTTTATAATCCTTACATAGTGTTGATACCAAAATTACGAAAATTAGGGTCGTAAATAGTTCCTGAGAAGAAAAATAACCTGTCGTATATTTAATGTAACTAAAAAAAGATTAAAAATACGATTTTTCAAAATTCAGTTTCTCAAACTCTCGTCCGTATTCCTGAACAAACATATTTTTCCGATTGCGGCTGTCCTACATATTTTGAGGGTCAAGTATTTCAATCAATAAAAAAAAATCTGTTTTTTCAGAGATAGTAAGTTTTTGTGAACTTAAAATATCGTCTGCACTACTTAATTAACACATTTAAAATCATCCCTTTTAACCATTAAGATTGAGTCGTAATACTTGAAGATCCAATCATTAGATCAAAAGTTATTTAGAGTATACCGTTTTTTTCCTCTCTATATTTAGTTAGTAAAAAATATATTTGTCTGTGTTTGCATTATTGGTGTCATCTTAGCCCTTTAACTGGCCCTTTATTTCTAGTAAAGAAAAATTAAAGTATTTTTGGAATTAAAATTGTTTTAAGAACAGTAATTGATACAAAAAAAAACTCATTTAATTTATAAAAATGCCATTTTTTTGGTGGTAAATATATTTATAAAATATTAATATTTATTTATTTATTTATTTATAAAATAAATTCCTTAAATGTTACAAACTTCAAAAGGAATTATGTATTTTATAACTTTTATACGTTTTTTAAAAGTGACAAATGGTTACCAATTTTATTTAAATTCACTTCAAGAAAGCTGAAGTTATTGAAAAATGGAAACCTAAATTAAAAGTGGTAAAACGTGGTGGTATGTATACTTACCACGGCCTTCAAAAGGGTTAAATGCTATTCTTATCAATAGTTCCTCGTAAAATTAGCGTTTTTATCTGAAAATTTAATTTTTACATAAATGACACCAGAATATGATATGGAAAAAATT